ATTTCTTTGATGCTTTTAAAATAAAGAAGTAGTCCACTTATATTACAAAAGATCAAATTTAATTATCATGTTAATAAATCTTGTTGAATTATCAAGGACATTAGTTTAGATATATTTTTCAAACAAAACCTAAAATATATATAATTAAAAATAGAAAAATAGTATACAGATAATTCCTGAAATAATCATTATTGAGTACAAAGAGATTAAAGTATTGAATCAAAACCAAATTGCAAAGAAAACCTTAATAAAACTAATGATAGCCTCAAACTATTTGGCAGAGTGGGATTGATCTGCTGGGCCAGTGCATGCAATGCCTAATGAACTCAAACACACAGGAATCTAAAATCGACAAGGCTAGTTTTGAATATTAGAATGCCAAAACTCCACCTCCTAATTGGAGTCGAAATTAGGGTTTGGTGTTCAGGGAGTGTGAGCTCTTTTACTATCGACAAACTGCAACTGTAGACTATGGAGTTCAACGCAGCCAAAAGTATGGTCATTCTTAATTTGGTCACATGTATCACCAAGGTGAGAGATCCCCTTTGTTCATACTTCTCTACTCCCCCTACAAACAACAACAAAAATTGCCCATGCGTTGTTTTAAGCATGCAGACCGAACGAATTCCTATTCATTGCTTTAGGTCATTGTTTAGAGCGAGTTAGCAAGCACCCAAAACATTTTGTAGGATATTCCACAGGCGCTCAAGTCATTTCGGTTGTGGAAAATATGTTGGGTAGTGAGGCACTATGCTAAATGAGTTCTTTAACTCAACCAAGCCTACTTTCTCCATTGCAAATGTGGAAGTTTGGTCAATCATTTACAGGCTTCGCGAGAGAACAAGTCCACTTCAACAGATAATGTAACTTCTCTCCAAGAAGCCCTGAATGGCACAACAAACGTCTATTATGAATGTGTTTGTTCGGTTTCGCAATCGTCTTGAATTTGATCTAATATTGTGCATTGTCAAAAGTTTTACTTGATTCTTATCCTATTTCATTTCTGAAGAACTTGAAAAGACTTAACATGGTGCCATCTCTTTAGTACTGATCTAGAAGATACTAGCAATTGCAGGCCTGAAGATGGACAGTAGTAGTTAAATACAGTTAATACTGTAGGCAAAGTGCGACAGTATCAGTTAAATATAGCACCAACAACATGAAGTCAAGTGTCAAAGTCTGAAACGCTTACAAGGAAAGTGGTCTGTGCTATTCCTGCTCAGATTCTGTTCCAGGCGTCATCAGTCCACAGGGATGAGCTCTGTGAAGACAACTGCGCAACACAGTCATCACAAAATAGTTTATTTGAAAATGTTGTTAATCAACAAACTTGAATAATGTTTGAACAAAACATCAAAATTCTAGCAATTTGGAATTATAGAACTAATAGACCAGTTGCACCCAGTACCACCCTTCGTGATGTCTTGTGCAAAGTAAAGACTAATTGTGACACAATGAACAAAAACGGGTGTTCATTGAATAAATGAGATAATTTATTGTTATTTTATGATTTTTAATTTTTAATTTTCCTTTTCGTATCTCCTGCAATCTCCTAAAAGCCATCACTGGAGACATGGAAACCAGAGTGAGTGCAATCACCCACATCACAACTCTTATCTTATCTTGCATTGCCTCATAAACACAACTCAAGCATCCCACAACAAAGCTTTGATTCGGTGTCTGCACCTCTGCAAATATGATATCGTAGAGTACATCAAATTGAACCCCAGTTCTTCGTCGATTGATGATGAAGTAGAATGCACAATCTTAAGTTCCATTAGAATACAAGAAGACGAAATATAATTTTAGGACTTTTACATTTTAAATTATCCAACTTTTACAATGGTTATTATCCAAAAGATTCTGGATTTAAATTCTATAATCTTTACAAAGACTTTTTGCAAGATAATTTATTATCAATCTAATAATCTAATATGATTACAAACAAAATAGTTAGAATATATAGTTGTCAGTGACATAAATTTATACAAACTTCTAAAAAAATAATATACTTATGTAAAATTAAAAAAGAAGAAAGAGAATTAAGAATAAGTATATTCATAAAATAAAAAGATAGTATAATAATCATTCTAACTTACAAAGAATCAAAAAAATCTTCAATTAAAAAATATTAATTTAAGATAAAAATAAAAAATAAGAATTAATAATGTTATAATTAACAACAACTTTAATTATATATATATATATATATATAAGATAAGGCTGAAATTAAGATTGTGTAATGGTATCTTACTTGGGTTGTATTTGTACTAGTCTATGGCAATCAAATAAAAGGTATAATGGTACTAACATAATTATAAAAGATTCTAAATAATTCAATATGAGAGAAGAGGAAGAAAACTTAAAACCTTATATACAAAAAGTTCTTATGGTGAGAGAAAGACTTCTATCTAATTGACAAATATATTATCTCTATTAAAACAACCAAACTATACATATAAAGGTTGTAAAGATTCAAACATGCCTACAACCAAGCAACGAACTACTTCATGTCTTATACAAAAGCATACTAAGAATTTAACTTAACAGCCACAGATGAACATTTTTAGACATGTATATTAGATTGGCACTTGGGAAGAATATTACTTCAAATAAACTATCATAGGTCACAACTTAACAATTTCATTAGACTTTATTATTCAAATAAAGACTTGCTCCTAGATTATATTTTTTAATTATAGATTATAATCTAGCAACTTCAACATCGATATTGACACTTAATTCATTGTACTTGGCCCCTCAAAATTAAAATGTAAATTGTTGGAAAGCATATAAGACTCATTAAGTTTAACAACAAATTTTCTTCACTCAAAATTTCAATTCTTTTGTCTATAATGCCTTAAATTTGGAAGGAATACAATGCTCTCTTGAATTGGTAAGAGTAGTCACCAAAATAAAGATTGTAAATAAGTTAATAGAAGATACTAATTTTTTCTTTGTCATAACTATCAACTAAGCATTTAACACCTATTCTTACTATTATAATAAAAAAAGTTAATATTATGGCTTATACTTCCAAAATAGACAGGCAATTCTTCCAAAAACGTCATATGCCTAAGAATCTTGCATCAACAAAATAGTGTGACATACTAGAAGAAAACTATAAATTTAAGTGAAAAAAAGTTTGGTTTGATTTAGGATCCAAGCAAGAAGCCATGCTAATATTATTGATTTATCATAGTGGCCTTGCAGTCAATATTTAAAGAATAGAAGCAAGCAAAGGTGCTCCTATACTCTTCTAAGTTTGCAACCTAAATCTTCTAGAAATACAGTTGCACATATTTTAGAAATATCTTTATGCAAGAAAAACTTGGAATTGAATCTCTCAAATTTAAAAGATTAAAAGCCACATTGTCTCTTCTATATGATATATGGCTTTGGACAATAAGGAGGCAAAAAAACTACTTATCTTTTAATATTAAAATATAGAATAATTAAAGAATATGCTTTAAAATTTGGTCAAACCTCTTAAACTATAGTAGAATGAAATAGAAACTCATAAAAAATAAACTAAACAAACAAGCAGATAATAGCAAAGCCATGCTCCGCAACTTGGATAGAACTAAAATAGTTAAGAAAATGATTGGTACTACACAATTAAAAACAATTGTGTAAAATTTAAAATTTGCTTATAATGATATTATTATACATGCTAGAAATAATACGAACTTCTAAAAACATATAAATGACTATTAAAAGCTTTTCTTTATTTACAATTTAATTCATTGGGATTTAGATCCTTGAAAGCCTTGTACTTAATACACAAATCAATGCATTGAATGTACCTTGATTGTATGAAAAAGGAAAGTGATTATAATAATAATAATAATAATAATATTTATATTTTTGAGATATGTCATAGATATGTAGAATGAAAACTTAATGAATATTCCTATAAAAAATCTCTCCATTTTGTAGAATCTCTTCATTTCCTATGATTTACATTAACGTATACATATATGTAGTTGTTATTTTTTCTAATATAATACAAATAAACAAATGTACATACAAAGGTTATTAGATTTTTAAATCACACTGGCTAATTTGATTTCATCATACTTGTCTATATATATATATATATATATATATTTATACATAATCTTATTTTTGACAATCCTTAAATGACAATTTCTTCAATACTTGGTTTTTTTTGTCATTTACAAACCAAATTAATAATCAATTTAGAGAAAGTATTTTGAAATCTATTTTTTTCAATGTTTTAGACATCTAATATTGGATTGATGGCATGAATAAGGTGAATGAAAGTTTGAGAGAACAATTAAAAAATATAAAAGTAAAATTAGAAGGATATGTTGATTCTTTTTATGGAAGGATGAAAGATCTCTTAATGAGATCAACTAATCATAATATACATGACTCATTTTTAACAAATATTTTTATTGGTGGATTACATCTATCAGAAGTGAAAAGAAAGAAGACCTTAAGATTTGGTAAGTATATATCAAACTACTAAGTCATGAAAGAAAGCTTGAGTAAATGAAGATTATACACTATATGTAGAACCATCTACATTTCCCAGTATGAAACTTCAAACTTGAATTACTTTGGCACCAAATCAAGATTTTAGATGACCAATTGTAGAATCTATTAATAATTCTTAAATAATTACAATTGAAGTAGCTCCATCAGTAAATAAAACTAAAGAGATGGTATTAAATTTAGCTAATAATTTATGAAGTTAAAAATAAATATGGTTGCTAATAAAAATAAAAGACCACCACTTATAAATACTAGATCTAATGTTTGGTGTATTAATTGTACAGGACATGGCCTTCGGATTAATAAATGTCCTTCACCACCAAATCAAGATTTTAGATGTATTTATTGTAGAGAAAGATATGATGTTGAACAATGTTAGAAGTTACATGGTAGAAATATAAATCAAATAAATAATGGCATTAGACCATGGATTAATAATCCAAATAAAAAACCATTCATCAAGCCAAATACAAGCCACCTTATAAAACTCTGGCTCAATAGGGTAGTGTAGTGCCTTGATTAAACACCAACTGGAATAGTTGTTCATATTTAGATCCTTAAGCCCTGAATTTGAGCGTGCATCACTTGGATCTATGCTTCCTCAATCACTCACCAAACACTTTAGCGCACTTCCCTTCTATACAAAAGAACATAGATTTACTTTCTTCTTCTGTTCATGATCACAAGGAGGCTGGGATGGAATTCAAGCTGAATGCCCTTCTCTTCCGAAACGAGTTGCAAGATCGGAGGTCTACAATGCTTTTTATTGGGTACTGAGGCCAGCCTAGTAATAATCTGCCTGTTTCTGACTTGTTTCATGCTGCAAACAAAAACAGTTTAAGGAGGCAATGGTTACGTAACCAACGACTTAACACCAGCCACGTACAACTTTAGACCTTACATATGTCTTAATCTTCAAATTCAGTCTCTAACTACTTCTGGCTCTGCTACAGCTTCAGTTGTTGCAACTACAAAAAATCAAACTAGAAAAACTAGCAATAGTACCTCGAAGACAGCTTTGAGATGATCTAGCTCCTTAATCAAATCAGTGATGGCCAAGTTGTACGCCTGCATCGGAGACGATTGACTAGTGGTTTGAATCTGTGGTGATTTGTCACCAAAACAATCCGATTAGATACTCATGGGAAAAACTCCACTACATCGTAAAAACTAACCGGGGTTGATAGCTGAAATGCTAACTTGGAAAGAACACACATAGAATTTGTGGCAAACCTGAGGACAGTCGAGGGGCACTCCCTAGCATGGGATAATTGAACAATCGGACGAAGAAGCATAGATGTATCCAGAGACGGAAGTTAGCTCCAAATGGCATAAAAGACGGTGAGAGAGGAGTCTAACCTTAACCACAAGCCTGTATTGGAGTGGATGTGGTAGCCTGTAACCAGCAAACAACACACTTGGGTCGCGGTGCAGCTGCCTGCTCTCGCACCAAAATAAGAAAATAAGCGATTGCCACCCGAATCAAGAGCCAAAAAAAAAAAAAAAAAAAAAAAGAAAAGAAACCCATGTCAAATTAGGTGATGGAAATGCGGCATAATATAGCTATCAAAACCTGCCAACCTACCGTCTGCAAAACCCAGAATCATAAACTCTAATCAACCACAATCACCCTAAATTGCTGATCACTCATTCAAGCTAGAATCAGTTACGAACATGCGAATGACGTTTCCGACGGTGTGATCCTCTCGCTCCACAGTGAATGTGGCAGCGTTCATAACCTTCATATCCCTCTCATATGCCACTCTGAACAAACCCACAATCCCCAGTGTAAGTTCAAAATGTGAGCTAGCTGTATGCAGCCATAATCACAAGCAAAGGGAGCTCAAACAATAGCAGACGTACTTTTAGACGTACTTTTTCATGCCCTCTGGCACCACAAACCGCTCATATCGATCGGGGGCATTCATGGTGACGACGCGGGATTGGATACAGGGCAAAAATACTAAAATCCACTAAAAAAACCCAAAGCTCTGAGGCGCAAACGGAGCTCAGAATCACGATCCCTCGCACCTGCAACAGCGACAACAGCATGAACGTTAACGAGCTTCAGACAAGACTAGCTGATTTGCCGAAGCATCGAGACCTGTGGATGAAACCCTAACTCGACGCCTTTCATCTTACAAATGATCCTTACTTTCATCCTTGCGGATGATTCGCGGATTTTCTGCTCTGATATGACTACAAAATTTACTGATATAAATTATAGTTCTTAAACATCCACATCAAGTGTTGTATTAAATTCACAAAATCTATACATTCTCTAAAATCTTTGAAAATTCATAGAACATATTTATAAGTAAGAAACTACTGGGTTACAAAAATAAATCATAAAAGGAAAGAGAAGAAGAAAAAATCAAAACATAGTACTCATCTATGACACATTTTATCTATCATCACCTTACCCAATTATAATTCATATTCTGATGAAAACAAAAATCCCTTGTTCCTCGACAGTGTGAAACCACACTGATAAAAGCAACATTCGCGCTAGTGTGAAAACAACTCAATAAGAAACACTTGGAGGGAGGCGTGATAGCGCCATGAGAGTAAGGGGTCGCAGAGCTGCACCATACACCCGATGACGAGGAAGAGAATATCCCCTATAGAAGATGCCGTTTCCATTTGTCTGTGTCTCTCTGTGTCGCTCCGGGTGTGTCTGGTTCCAAGCATCGCCGACCTCGCTCCGAATCTGCTTCTTCGCCTTTGCCATCGTCGTCGTTTCGTATGCTCGTCCCCCGCACCAAGTCCAGGAACGGACCGGATCATGTATGCTGGTTCAGACTGTTCGGCTTCGCTCGGCTCTGCTTGTGCTGCTGCTTCTCGCTTGAATTCGCGACCGTTGAGGTGTATGAAGCGGGACGGAGATTTTGTTGCTGGGAGCGGCGATCCAGGGCTGTCGTGGTGGACTTGACCGTAGCGGCGCTGGAAGCGGTTTGCGTGTGAGGCCAGACCGGAGGAATGAAGTATGGGAAGCTGTTGCAACTGTTGCTGGAGCAGATGCCGGTGGACTATCGGGATAAGTTTCTGTCGTACAAGCAGCTGAAGAAGGTTATCAATACGATTCTGCAGGATAATTCCTTGCCGACCGCGGCTTTCGTGGAAGAGGGAGCTCCGGGGGCGGACGGAGGAGGGGCAGGTGGGAATTATGAAGAACGGCCGTCCGTGGAGTCGATTACAGCCCGGGATGTAGCAGTGGTGTGGCCGCTGGCGGTAGGGTTAGAGCCTGCGGCCAAGCGGGCAAGAGGGGAGGTGGGGTTTTCTGTAGAGACGGGCGGGGAGGGGAATGATGGAGCGGGGGCTGCCGGGACAAAGAGGAAGCCTGGATCGGAGGAAAAAGACGTGGCTGGAAATGATGCGGAGGAGAATGTAGCCACTCTACCCATGCAAAGGGAGGTTTCGGTTGGTAGGAGATTTACGGCCCGTGTCGCAGGAGGAGAAGTGAAGGAGCTCACGAAAGAAGAGGAGAATTTTTTGCACCTCCTGAATGTTGAGCTTGAGAAGTTTAACAGCTTTTTCACGGAGAAAGAAGAAGACTACGTCATTCGTATACAAGTATGCAGAATCTCAAACTGTCACCATATACTTTCTCATCTTTAATGTGGTGTGCAATTGTACATCTGGCTAGTCTATCGATTACACAGTCGCTTCATTGATTCGCCAGAGGTTGGTTTAGTAGCTGAGTTAGATCTATTTTGTTTGCTGTGCACATGCTAACCTTTGTAAGGAAACACTAGAGAGCACTCTCTGTGTTTGCGTACGTTTATGTTCGTCGAAAAAAGATAATGCAAGAATGTAATGCTGAATTTTATTTATGTATTTATGTAATCATTTTCCATCCCGCCGTATGTCTCGATATATTTTTAGTATTCAGAAACAATTAAGGTCAGGCAGAGGACACGGTGCGTAAACTTTGACAACATATGCGCTCTATTGCAATATAGGAGTGGAAGCTAAGGATTAAATTTCGTGAGAATCTGTTGTAGTTGAACCCTTAGAATGGTCTTTAGGAAGGCTTTCGACATTTATGCTTGAGTGAATTTAGAAAATAGGATTAATCTTCATCGTGTGTGTTGCTGAAAATTGGCGTTAATTTTCCGCGTTTTTTAATTATCTCGAAGTTCGTCTTTCCTACTAGTTCGCCTTGTAACTAGGCTTTTGTTTTTCTGAGTAGAAAATGCTAGTGCCTTTCATATTATTATCTTGCGATATATATATATATATATATATATATAGTTGTTAACAACCTTTTGTATTACAGGAGCTAAAGCAGAGGCTGGAGGGTTTGCGTCAGCAAAATGATTCAGAGTTGAATCAAATAGATTCAAATGAAGATTTTCAGACTATTCGCATGGAGCTTGTCACGTTACATGGAGAGGTTGTGCTTATGGAGAGTTACAGCACTCTCAATTATACAGGTTGAGTTCACGAACGTCGCTTCTTTCATAGGATGACAGGAGGTTGCCTGTGTACTATGCAGAGTCACTCCGAACACCAGAATTTCCTCTACGATTAAACGTTGGTAAAAGAGAATGGTTCAATCTGCACTTGTAATCTGATAGGAGTTTATGAGATTCTTGAACAGTTCGTGTTTTAGCACCCTTATGTGTTTTACAGTCATTTCGTTCTCACTGAGCAGGGCTGGTAAAGATATTAAAGAAACACGACAAACGCACAGGGGCAGTCCTTCGCTTGCCTTTCATTAGACGAGTGCTTCTGCAGCCATTCTTCTCCACTGAACTTCTCTCACAACTTGTCAAAGAGTGTGAAGCTCTTTTGTCAACTTTTCCTCCCCTACCTATTGAAGAGAGCATCGAGGTCAAACCAAATGATGAACAAGAAGATGCTTCTAGTGAGTCGCGAAAGGGTTCATTTCCGGCAGGTAATTATACCATATAACTAGTTTTGGGCACGTTGCTTCGACCTGATTAACTTTTGTGTAGTGAGTTCATTTTAACGAAACTTTTTACACCATTTCGTGGTGTTTACTAGGAATTTGGAGCAAACTCTATAGCCAGATCTTGGTTTGCGAGCTGAGTTACATACTTTTACAGGTGCCTGCTCACTTGACTGACTCCCTTATTATCAATAGGTCTTGACAATGGAGGTATATTTAAGAGCACCATAGCTGCCTTGCGAACCATTCAGGAGATGCGGAAGGGAAGTTCGACTGTCAGTGCCCAGTCCCTGCCTCCCTGCAATCTAAACGGAAACGACGAACGACATGGTGTAGTTATTAACGAGAAGTTGTGGGGTGGCAAAATATCTGAGCTCCTCTAAAAATAGCAGTCCAAGAGCATGACCTGTCCCAACAGATTGATTGCAATGCTTTGGGATCCTTAAAAAAATTAGGAGTCTTTCGAATTGCGGTCAACTCTTTATGCAGCTTTGGAGGTTCCAAACGATCAAGGGAACGTGGTGATTTGTTACTACTAGCCTTGAAGCAGAGCTTGTGTTCTTTGATGCGGACTCAGGACAGCTCCTTTCACGGGGATTGAACCCCAAGGAGAGATTTTCTTTTGTTTCATTTTTTTCAATGTCAGCATTCTCGTGCATCTACCTTTGTTCTTGGAAATCATACGCTCCTTGCCCATCCGAACCAATTTCCCAGATTGTATTACACTGGCATGTAAGGTATGTTTCAATCCGCGATTCCCCTGGATGCGTAAATGATAGTAATATAGTTTTAGTTTTGAATCCTTGTGTGCATATAAAACAAATTTATATCCAACTTTCTAATCATAGTATTTGAAATCGTTACAATGGACATGTATGTGAAACTTGATTTGAAATGCATGAAATGTAGATAATCCTGTTGATTTGGAGATCCAAATACCAAAATGCTTTCCACACACAGAAATCTCTTTGTATACATGTGTGTATTTATAGGTATAAATGTGTAAATACAAGTGCATTACAAGTATAAATATATGTATTTACACAAGTATGTATTGGTTTGTAGCATACAAAACCATATCATCATGTCAAAGATACATCACACCGTATAATATTTCTCTATTTTTGATTTCACATAACTTGAAATGGAAAGATCAAATTAAATTTTACCACACCGAAGTATTCATGTGATATCCCACTAGTGGTATTAGAACTGTGGTCCCCATCTAATTAAGTACTAAAATGTATCATTGTTAGAATAATATTCTTTATCTGGAATATGCCACGTAGATTCAGCAACACCTGTCCACCGTGTCCAATGACCCCTACCTACCAACCAAGTCGATCCACTTAGTTTGGAGTGGATATGGCGGAACCTTTAGGGTTTAGAACATTCGACATGATTTGAATGCACATGAGCAAAGTTGGCTCTTCAGAACCCCAATCGGTATTAGGAATAATGGATTCTTTATTCACTTGTTGAATCTGTTTTCAAAACAGTTGTATGGTTACTCCAACTTTCAGGTCTAGAGGAATATGGGAAGATAGGATGTTAAAATTATCAGAAAAATGGTTTTTAAAGCAAGGGTCTCTTTATTTATATATATATATATATATATATGTTTTGTCCTCTGGAATATCGTTGAATAACATCTTACCATGTTTTGTGATAATGCTTTGAAGGAAGTTGTTGGTCCCAATTTTAGATTTTCTTGTTGCATTATCTTGGAGGGGATAATGTGAAAATAGATATTTGCAAAGATAGGATCATTTGATTTAGTCATAAAGATAAAAAGATGAAAAAAATAAAATTTAAAATGACATGCAATTCCTGCTTCATTGATTATTTGAAAGTGCTCTTTGGAACATATGCATACATGTGTGTGCATATAGATAGAGGGAATTGTTAAATTGACCCAAACATTTACTAAATCAATCCACCCATTGTCATTGGTTGAGGATCCAACCAATTTTTCATTGATTTTTTTATCAATGTAGATCTTGTAATGGAGATTTTTTTGATGATGGTTAGGATGAGTGGGTTGATTTAGTAAATGGTTGGGTCAATTTTTTTATATATACATATATATATATTTATTTATTTTCTCTCTTTCTTTCCATGACTTGTTGTGTTAGAAAGATTTTTAGCTACCTTAACTACACTTTAAAGATTCAATTATTGATTTATACAATTAAAAGGATGAAAAGATATGTAAACAAGTTTACATGCCACACACAAACTAGATTGATTGTGTGCATTAATGTTTTTGATGTTGAGAAAAGCCCTTCTTTCCCTCTATATAAGAATGACTCATTCATATCTTTCAAGAAAATGATTCCATAACCAAACAAAGCTCAATGATCTAAATGGCAAGGGAATTGTGAAATAATTGATGATAAGGGGCAAATTGGAACAGCCAACATTTGGATACAGGAAAAAAATTTCGCCAAACAGACACAAGAAGCAATATCACAAACTAAATCCACTACATTATTAGAGTAATGAAATAATGTTTACAGATGAGAAATTAAGTCATTTACTATTATGTTGATGAAAAGGTAAAAAAAGTTGTAGCAATAAACAAAAGCATATCGAGGATATATTTGTTAACAAAAACAAGATGCGTTGAGGGAAAACATATTAAAAAAAAACCCCACATGGAGTCACCAAGTCAACGCCAGATAGGCATGGAGTCGGTCAGCGCAGGAAGGGCTGTAAGGAAGTTTCGGTTACACTCCGAACCCCGAACCTTCTCGGAAGCGCCGATCCCCGGGAATGGAATCTTTTCAAAAACCTTGCGGAGTCAGCATCGGATACTCCGCCGAATAAGAGGTCGGGGTTTCGATGCCCGTGGCCATCAGCGCCCGCATACAAATTTGGACCCGACCACCTCCGAACCATGCCGGAGCTCGAAGTGTTGGGGAGGGGTGTGAATGGGGTTTCGTGACATTGGCTTGGATATGGCTCGAATGTGGGACGAGAGCTGGTGTGAAACGGACGACCGCATGCTGACGTGCCTTATGAAGTGGAGGTCCTTGCCATGTCAGATCTTGGAGGTGGGAGCTAATCAGGGGCTTCGCAGGGGAGGGATTTGTTGTGAGTGTCCAGAGTAGCAATGCGCGGTGGGAGTGATTGTGTGCTTTGTTGCTGGCATGGGAGGTTGCGGAGGCGGCTCAGTTCGCTTGGGGTTGTTGTTGTTGTAGTTGTTGTTCCGTGATTTCTACTACTGGTGGTGTAGATTCAGCAATGAAATCTTCTTTGTGGTGAGTTGTTGCGGACGACTATCTCGCAAGGTAGGTTGCATCCGGGGCTCGTGAAGGGATATTTGGAAACGGGGCGTGTGTCTTAATCGAAGTACCGATTACTGCGGATTCCGGTGGCTGCAGCCCGAGGTTGAGAGGTTAAATTCGGGCACGTAGAGTTGCTGGAGTTTGAGATTCACTAGTTTGGATTGATCGGGGAGAGAGATGGTTGTGTGGTGGTGTTGGATTTTGTCACTGCGTTCCGGTGCTGCTTTACGTGTTTGCAGAGGGTGGATCCGAGAGGCCAGGCAAGGAGAGGGGTGAGGGTGTAGTGTGAAGGCGCGAAGGGGTTGGAGAGTGGTGGTGGTGCAGCATGAGGCGTTTTGTGGTCTAGAATATCTTTAGAGCCGTATGGGCACATGTGATGTCTTTCTGGGCTAACGATTGTGGCCATGTGTGGGGGTCTTATTTTCAAAGTTTAGCGCATTCGCCACTTAAACCAGATAGTTGCGAACCCTCTCCTTAATCAATCTTCATTTCTTCGTGCTGGGTTCACGAAGTAATTGAATTCCTGCGTAGTTCTATTGCCAGGTGTTGGTTGAAATCTGAAGGTGGTCAGCGCGTGTAGCGTCAATTTGATTTCACGGCGATGATGGTCACTGTGGTAGGTGTTAGTTTTCGTGCGCCTGTGGGGATGTCGAAATTGGGTGATTGCAAGTGGGTAGAAATCGATCGCCCGTGAGATTCAGGTTCTTAGAGTAGCACATTGAGGATTTTGACTGGCGTTCGTAACATGCTCCCGTTCATGGAGGTTCAACTGTGGGGATTTCTTATTCGCACGAGGCTTCTTTGTTGAATTTATGGGAGTTCCTAATTCCTTTCATTCCAGAATACATAGAGTCGTGCTACTGAATAATGTGTTTGGTCATTCTGCAGGTGCTGGAAATATTTGCAGAGAGGGGACTTTTTGCTGGCCTTGAAGCTTTGGGTTTCCCTACATGCATTTGAGAGCTAGTGCGAGCGGTTTACAAATTGACCGTTCTTAGCGTTGAGGACGATCGCCTCGGCAGAAAGTTCAGCTGTAGATAGGACTTATTAAAATGGTAAATTAGTAGGACGGATGAGATTTTTCCAGTCCTAGAGAGAGCATAAATCTGGATGTGAGGAATGTTTGTGTCGGAAGAGGAAGTGACTGGTGGTTAGGCCAGGCAACAGAAGGTCAAGGCAGGCGGATTTGAAAGATGTGGGCGGATGGAGGTCCACGGAAAGGGAGCCAGCTTCACAGATCAAGGTCTACTGGCCTGGCTGCGCTTTTAGATGGGCAAGGCAGTGAAAGTGGTGTGATTGTTGCAGCTTTTATGCATGATGAGTGTGGAAAATGGAGCCTGGACCGCACCTTAGCACATATTCTCGATGTCTCTCCTCCGATGTTGGAGCTGAGCTTTACGAAAGATGGAAGGATTGATGCGAGCAGCGTGCGATCGTATCTCGAATCGCAACTCAGCGCCACTCTAGATACAAAGGATGGTTTTGTAACTGGTTGTGATCACAGGGATGGCGTTTTTATTAACAGCCTACCTTTCGGGAATAGTATTGTTACCATCGACAGCAGTAGTACTTGTGGGGATATCAAGTTTGATAAAAACTTCTTGCATCTTGAGAGCCAGACCATTTTTAGCAGCGCTCGTGCCAATGCGTGTGTGTGGAAGGGTCGATGGATGTACGAGGCAACTTTGGGAACAGCCGGCATTCAGCAACTTGGCTGGACTACACTTTCGTGTCGCTTCACGAATGAGGAAGGCGTAGGTGATGCTGCAGACTCGTACGCGTACGATGGAAATAGGGTTTGCAAGTGGAGTGAAGGCCATGCTCCTTATGGTCAGCCCTGGGTAGCAGGTGATGTCATAGGTTGCTGTTTGGACTTGTACAAGAAGCAGATCATTTTTTATAGAAATGGTGTTTGTTTAGGTGTCGCTTATGATAGCATCAGGGAGCTTGAGCCTAAAGAAGGGTATTATCCAGCAATCTCTTTGTCATACGGGGAGCGCTGCGAATTAAATTTTGGTGGCAGACCATTTAGGTACCCTGTTGAGGGTTTCTCTTCCATTCAGCTGCCTCCAACAGTTCAGGTCAACGACAACGAGCATGAAATGGTTTCAGTATCTGGAAGAGCGAAGTTCTTGCTCAGCTGTTTGCAGAGGCTTGTTCAATTAGGAAGTCGGGAGGTTACGGCAGCCATGGCTCCTGTAGACAGGCTAAAGAGATTCATCCCCTTGACTAGCGACGATGTATTATTAACAGGTTCGGAGATATGCAATTTGCTTCGACCGCTGCTTTTGTCTAGTCGAATGCCTGGCGAAACAGTGTCATTGGGAAAGAAATCGAATGCTCCAGGAGAGTACGTAATTTGGGGTGCTCTAGTTCCGTTTCTTCTGGAGACCTACAGACAGGAAGCCCCCCATGATGCCTCTAGTGTTGATCAGGCATTGGACCTTTTGCTCCCACAACTAGAAGGTCATGTTTTTAGTGGTGCGCTCGTTACCATTATTATGGAAGCTCTTGCCTATGGCTGCCGAACATCCCCAATTACGCTTGTTGACCATCCTTACACGGGTTCTTATCCCTACCTGGCGCTAGCTTGCCATTTACTGGAACGCTACGATTTTATGGTCTCATGGTGGATGTCAGATGGGTTCAGCTCATGTCTGGAGGGATTTCTTACCCGGAAGGGTCTGAATGAACATGATCTTGAAGGATTGATGCCAACAGTATGGTGGCCTGGGTCTCGGGAGGATCTCTGCTCTGAGGGTAAAATGAAGCATACGGAGATGTTATGGTCTAAGGCAATTGTCAAGGTATATCCAGGCTCTCTTTTGTGTGTGACTCGTAAAGGCTTTGAACCTTGAGGAATTGCTCAGTATTATATGCGAGTGGTTCAAAACATGGTTTGGCAGCTCACGATTACTCCTGACATTTATTTATTTATTTATTTTTTTGAGGAAACAGTCGTGATCTTGGTTGCATATGCATGGATGGTTATGGTCTAAACCCATGATTCCGTCCAACGTATGGGATTTTTTTTGTTTATTGATTTTGATATAATTCTGCACAGACATGCTGAATATATAGTCTTTATGCGGTTTTAGGATATACAAGTGCATTTACAATTCGCAATGTGGATATGACTATTTTAATTAAAATGCAATTATCTTTTGTTAATTTGGTCATTTTAGTGATAAACGTGAAGTTTAAACCGAATCTCGTTTATCATTCGGCTTTTCCCAATTTTGTGCGTAGATTGGAAGATTTCAAGTACAGTGTGTGTCTTTCAACACTAATAAAAGTTATGGGATGTAGATAGAGGAGTTGCAATGGGAGCTGTGTGGTCGACTGCTCCAATTTGTACCACCTCCAACAACGGAATCACCGCAGCCTGTTCCTGGCGTGGTTTTCCGGAGTTTTTTGCGGAACCTTGTATGCAAAAATCGAGGGGCTAATCGTATGGCTCCAGCAGGGTTGTCTGGTAACTCTGTTCTGGTTTCAACTTATTATGTTCTATTGCGACTTCTGTCTGAGGGATTTGGACCAGGCAAGACTAATGGTGATGTTGGCGAACGAATGAAGGATCAAGGATATTCTACGGGTTTTCTTCACAGGTTCGGCTGCACACATTTCCAATTGCTACACTTGTAGTGCACTTTTGTACTGTCGTTATACTAGTGTTGTTGTATGTCTCTGGCTCATGGTCAATCCTGAAACTCTTCGTGGCACCGATTGGTGTTGTGAAAAAATTTCCAAGTTATTTAGGTTGATTTGAAACTGCAGGGTTGGTAAGCGAAGATTTCCTGTCAACATTCTTTTGAAAGATTCCAGCGCTACAGACTTTGTTCGGTTGGGCGGAAATTTCAGCCATTTAGTGAAAACCTCCCCTGTCGAGTTGGATGTCCTGGAAGTGGAATGGGAAGAGAGCTGCATGGATGAAGGGGATGATGTTGTTCGGCATGGAGGGAAACTGAAACCAGCTTGTTGTTCTGATCTTGTCCTGAGCGGCCTGCTGAGCGACAGCAAGACCCCTGTGAAGGTTTCAAGTGAAATATTTGCCCTTAGTGCTACAACTGGAGTGAATGAAAGGACGAGTAGCTCCATAAGTAGTAACTATAATAGTGGCCGGAGTTGTGATGGATGTGTGGAGGACAAGCCAAGTTCAAGCGGAAGAGTGGATATTAGCGTAAGCGGCGCTCCTGTTTCCCGAAGCTATGACAGGCGAGGATTCAAGTCAAGCAAGGAGCTATCTGAGGCGATTAGGGAGGAGGAGTTGCTAGATATCATGCTCTTGCTTTACCATCTCGGGCTAGCTCAAGATTTCAAAGAGGTATGGCATTTTCTGCTATCCGTTCCGCGAGATATTTCCCTGTGCTTGAATAATTTAGATCTGCACCGAGGAAGAAGGCCTATTGACATATTCTTCGTGTTTTGCTCTTCTGTGCAGGCCTCGTTTTTGATGCAACATCAGATGCAATCTATAGCACAGCTTGATGAGACAGATCGTCAGATACGGGGTAAGAATATGTCCAGGCAACACCTGAAGCACTTGAAGGAAGCCAGAACAGTTTATAGAGAAGACCTAATCCATTGTGCGCGGCAGTGTACATGGTATGTTGGTTCTTTCACTATCACGCAATTATTATTTTGGACTTGTGGTGATTTTAAGACGCTTTGTTGTGGTAGTTTGGCATGTCTTTTTTGTTGTGTCATTATTCACGTCTTTGCACTGCATTCTATTGGAGTTCAGGTACCGTGTGGAAATGTTTGCAAGATGGAAGCTCAGGGGAATGTATGCCACCTGCATGTGGCTTGTGCAGCTATTGCTAGTTCTAAGCAAAAAGGATCCGCTCTTCGTCTATGTTCCAGAATTCTATGTTGAGACTCTGGTGTGTGACTATTTCAAAGACAGCTTTGTGTCTTCCTTCACGTACTCTGTTGATTCCATGCATTTAGCGTTTTACTGTTTGCAATCGTAGTATGTTTTAGCTCTGCTTGCTGCTGACTAGTCATATTGTGTGAGGGTCTGGACCATTGTACGATTTTGAGGAGTGATTGTATTGCTAGGTGGATTCTTTTCATGCTTTGCGACGAAGCGACCCTCCGTTTGTACCGGCATCTTCTCTTCTACAGCAAGGACTTTCTCCTCTGGTATTCTTGTCTTGTTTGTGTCTTTAGTTCTTTTGGTGTTTCTAGATATTTTCGTAAATACTTGAAGGTGCTAGTATTTTACTGCTTAGATCAACAACACGCTTCTTTTCTTACTACGTTATTGTTCCTTTCTTAATTTTACTTGACATTTTCAACGTTGTTTGCACAGGTAACTTTTCTGGTCACTCATATTAATGATCCCCGAATAGTAAATCTCGATGTTCGAGACATTTTGTTGCAGTCAATCTCAGTATTGGTGCAATACAGGGATCATCTTATTGCATTTGAACGGAACCAAGCAGCCCGGGAAGGCATGGTTGGATCTCTTCTAGCTTCTTTCGACAACCGCTTCTGGATTTCTGTATCCAACATTTTATTGCGGTTCTGTAAGGGTTCTGGTTTTGGAGCTTTAAAAGCTTCGTCAAATGGAAAATCATTATCTCCGTACTTTCAGGTTGGTGAACTACTTGCAAGTTTCAAGCTCAGAAATGTTTATATGGTAGAGTGGATCTGTGTAGGAGCAATTTTTTCTCTTCTCATGTGACTTTTATTACGTTTGTGCTAAGCTGTATAATGGAGTATAGAGCTTTATGTATTGCAAAACCTGAAGATATAGGCAAATGGTTGCAGCTTTTACTGAAGGAAAAATGCATGAACGACGAGAAGCTTTTTGCGTCGTTTCTCAATCGTCTATTCAACACGCTTAACTGGACTATCACGGAGTTTTCAATCACAATCAAAGAAATGCAAGAACATTCCGACTTATGCCAGGTATTTTATTTATTTTTGAATTTCTTGTACTGTCCATTGGATATAGAACACGCGTGCTAGTTCTACAAGGATCGCTTAGGTTTTATTCTTTGACCTTTCTCATGCAGAGAGAGAATATTGTATTCAAAGTCGTGTAGAAATTCATGGGTATATTGGTTGATACAGTTGCGGTAGCATTTTATTGCACGGTTTCCCCACTTCACATGTGTGTTCATGTTCTTTAAAGTATGTGGTTTGCTGTACAATCTTAGGTGAGGCTGCAGAGTTACCGGCTCACTAATTGTAGGTTTCGTGTTTTCTTTGCCTAATGATCAGGTGTCAGAATCGCACCAAAGGAAATGTTCTATTATGTTTGAACTTTCTTGCAATTTGGAGAGACTACTTGAATTTTTAACTCAGGAGTTGCCACGTGCCTTCTTACAAGGGCCTGAAATCAATCTTATTCGGCTTTGCGAGCTTATTATATTCGTTCTCAACCATACCACAAGAAGTGCAAATGCTCATTTCTTTGATAGGTTTGTAAATTGATTGCTCCATTGTTGGATCTAAGGAATGCTTAGGCATTGACATCTCTATACCTTTTTTCTGCACATCACTGGATAATGTTGGAAGGAAGAGGTTATCTTCTGTGCTTTTTATTATGGTTATTTATTAACACGATTGAAATCTTTGGGTTCTTATTATTTATTTATTTATTTTTAAATATATTTTTTTCCAGCACTGCTAGGCAGCTGGGACAATCTTTGGAGAAAATCGACAGGGCAAAGATGTTGGCTCCTCTCGTGGGAATTGTACTTAATTTGAAAAACGCGTCATTAGCGCTAAGTCATGGTGTGACATACGACATGGCAACTGTCCTTGCTGGTGTGGACATTTCAGCAGCAGTTGTTGCCAATTTTCAATATCTGTTGGACTACAGCTGGGTAACGGTCAATACTTTCTTAGTCTATTAACCTATTTGAAATAGTTCTGTGTGGTGGTGGAGTAGACATGTGGAGGCTACAATAGTTGCGTAAAATTGTCAAAGAGGAAATTTGAAGGAGGCTTCTTAAATATACGACTGTTTATGTTTAATTTGTGTTGTAGGAGATGGCATTCAAAGGGGATCCTTCAGTTAGAAGAATTTTAGATTTAAAACCTTTTGTTTCCAAACTCAAGGTGGAATCAGAAAAGGCAAGGAAACAGGCCTCTTTTGATGATTTTCTTGAAATAAATTCAACCTCAGGTAATTGACGTCAACTTTGCGCCATCTACTCTCGTTCAGTTCCTCTTGCTAGTTGTACTTCTGCGCCTGCTTTAGAGATTATGTTTTGTGACTATAGTAAATTTTTCTGAATGTTATTTTCTTAATTTTTTATGAGCTACCTGAGTCTTATTTGCATAATCGCACAAGAAACCTGCTTTGTCTGGATATGCCCAAGTCGCACAGCATAGCAACAAGTAATGGATGATGAATTTGGACTTGCTGCAGATATTTTGGGGAGCTTTGAAACGATGGACAGTGAAGAAGCATGCACTATCTGCTATGCTTGTGAAGTGGACACCATTTTCTTGCCCTGTAAACATAAGTCTTGCCAACGTTGTATATCTCGACATCTTCTAAACAGTCAGCAATGTTTTTTCTGTAATTCTACAATCATCAAACTTTCGTTCATGCTTCCAACGCCTGCTATCGAAGACGGCGAGTGTCCGGCAGATCCAAACAAGGGCTTAGCAGAATCCTTAACAAACGAGAAAACCTCAACCTAGCAGAGGGACTCCATTAAAGAAAACATAATAGATTACTGTCGCTGAGTGGTTGAGCACTCCTGGCGTTTGATAAATTGATCTGTTGAAGATCTCTCGGGCTTCCGGATGTCGTGGACATCCATGAGTTATGCTCAATGTCCTCTAAAAAGTAACTCCATGGAACATAATCCATGTACGTCATTTGGTCATATTTCTTGACCTAAGATTCGTCACAATTATCAGGGCGCTTGATTGCTCATTATGGTTATATATTTGTGATGTAAAACAGAATCGCCAGCATATTGAAGTCCTTTCAAGCTCATTCAAGCAGGTGGTGCTATTTGCAGCTCTTTGCAAATATGGTTACTCTAGTATTGAAACCATTTTTAGGTTTGTTGATTCAAGTCATATTTAACTCAACCCAATGTCAATTGATGGTATCTCATGCGGAACCAGGAGGTGTAAATTCCTGTACTCTGTGCATTGAGACAGAACTGGGATTTAGTTTTTGCTCTATAGATTTCTTACTTCCTACTTGCTTTTAGGTTGGCACAAAGGATGCAGAACAGAAGTTGATTTTAACTTACATTATAGGTAAACCTATTGAATGAGGTTAGAAAAATGTTTTTCCTCTCGTCCAAGAACCTTATTACTGAGACTTTTCAATGGAATGTAGTACAGGACTCAATATTCCTGCGCTGTGTTTTCATGAGGTGAAGATGAGGCTGAAAAGGTGGAAGGTGTGCTCTCGATGATGTCCCGGTTAGGAATGTCATCTTTATTCATCCTTGCAGCTACATTTGGTTTCATGTTATAGAATTACACCACTTAGCTCATTTCATGATGAACTTTATTCTTGTTGTCGCACTATCTCGATTGCTGGTGCAGTTGGGGTCACAACTTGCCATGCTTTTCTATTCTCTCCGTTTATAATTGTGATACATGCTTTGCAATATGTCAAAGCCCATGTTTTTTACATGCTTTGTGGTGGCTTTGAGGTATGTGCATTTTGCTGCGCTGTTCGAGCCATCAATTCTGAAAGTATTTTGGCATCTTCAATACGTTTTTCTGTTTAGTTTGAGCAATTTTGTACAGATTGACGAATTAATAAACTTATTCCAAACCTGAAGCAAGTACTTAATAACTGATCAGTGCCTGAAATCTTTACCGTGTTCTATTGTGTACTGTGTTTTAGTTTAGTTGTAAGTTCCTATTTAATTGTAAGTTTTGTGTTTTTTATAATGATTTTTTTGAACATGTAATTATTTGTTTATTTATTTATTTTTGATATAGTTGCCCTTTTTAAAGTCTGGAAATTGTTATGTATAATTATCTTTACATTTAACTTTATTTTGGTTCATCAAATTTTGTATTCAATTGTATGAATTTTTTATTTGAAATGTTCTCAGACTAATTGGAGATATCTTGTGATTATAATGACAAAAAATACAATCTTTTTTCTTGCTTGTTTTTTTTTTTTTTTTTTTTTTTTTTAATATAAATTGATTTGAAATTACGAATTTATTATTTTAAAACTTTGCAAAGGTGATTTGGAGGATAGAATGTAGTATAAAATAAATAAATCATATCATATCATCATCTTGATGAGATTTTAATAAAAATTTCAAAAAAACAATTCAACAATAAATTAGAAAAATCTTTCTGCAATATTACATATGCATAGAATCCAATCTTTTAATTTTGAATATATTAATGAAGATCCATGTTATTAAGACTTTGCAAATATTTAGGATAAAAAAGAGTAGTAGATTAATAGTTATAACAAAAAATAGAATTATTTTTATCCTTTACAAAAAAAATCATAAATTTAAAACAACCACATATTATGAATAAATAATTTCTAATTATACATAGGCTCTTGCTATTCTCTCATTTAAACATGTTGCTTAAAACCAAATTTTTTTGGGATAAGAAACAAATCCCACAAATCAAAAAAGAAAAAGAAAAAAAGAAATCCAAGTTATAAACACTCTTCTAATCAATCTCTTCAAAGTCTCCAAAAAAATGCATATTGCTTTGCACAATTAATCACCACAACCAATCATATCATTCAAAACAAAAAAGCGACAAAGATTGAAAAATCATCTTAAAAAAATCAAACTCTCTCTAATATTACTTTTTGGTACAAACAAATCAACAAATAGAGCACAAAAAAAATGTATACAAGTGCAAAGTAGAAAAAACTAAGCAAACAATAATTAAAATTGAAGAATATTGAAAAGGATAATACAAGAGCCTCTTCTTCAACTTCTTTATCAATATCCTATAAGTGGATAGTTTTTTTTTTTTTTTTTTTTTTTTTTTTTCTTTTGGTTGTTTATCTATTGTTTGTCAAATGGACTTGTTTTTTTTTGACAAAGTTAGGCTTGAAGGCACTTGTATATGGTTGTTGTGATGAGATGAGTGATAGAAGAGAGATTCTCCTTGTATTGTATGTATTGTTAATATTATTCATTATACAATTTTTAAGGAAGGTGTATCAAATAAAAAATATGTTAATGATGGAAGTGTTGTAATTGGAGCTTACATGATTGCTAGATTGGTGACCAATTGTGAAGGTTAACAAAAGCATAACACAAGGGCTGCAATGCAAAGAAGTGTCAAGGACATGAATCTTGAAAAAAGAAATTCTCAATATACTCTTGTGTCATTGAAAAGAAGTAGAAAGATACTCAAAGATGATGTAGTATTGAACTAGAATGGCTATTGCTAAAAACAAGAAGACTAAAAAGTCTTGAAACAAGACTAAAGTCTCGAAAAGCATTGACAAAAGTGAAGAAGGCTTCACTCTTGCCTCCATATATATTCTTAACTAAGAGCTATGTGACAATGTCCTATAGGACTTCTAAAATGTGTTGACTTTGTAAGACACATATCTTAACTTCCAAGACAAGTTTTCTATATATGTGCCATATAGTTAGCTTGTTTAGTAAGCTAGCAACAAGTAATTAACTTGTTGACCAAGTTTTAACCTATCAATCAACTACAAACATATGTAAAGTCAAAGCCGCATCTATGAAACTTCTAGGAAGTTTCTTTAGAAGGTATGATGAAATTAATCTATTTTTATCTACTTTTATCTATTTCTACCTGATCATATAGATATTTATTAAAATACATATGTATATCCATGATATGAGATGATAAGAGAAGAAGAAGACAAAAGATATAAGAATTGTTTTCTTAGTGTGATCTACAATTGTTATATTCCTTAGAAGAGCATACTAAACTATGGCAAATTGAGGATCACATGGAATTTGTTTCCTATTCCAAAAAATTCTAGTTTCAAGTACTATATTTGGATAAGAGAATAACTATAGAAAATATATATATATATATATATATATATATTTAAAGTATATAAAAATTATTTTTATTTTTATATTTAAAATAGAATGTGATCAATCTACTTGATTTTCTTTCTACACAATTTTGTCAATAAACACAATTAACAAGCATTTGCAAATTTGTCCAAAACATTTTGTAATATTGAATTAAGCTCTGCCTTTGGCAAGCAACATGGAAGTGCACACAACAACACTAAAGAAAAAAAAAGGAAAATAGTGAAAAAAGAAGCACACCGAATAGAAGAAAGTAAAACATGAACACAACAACCCATCCAGTATCAGTAAAAGTTTCACGGACAGTAACTTTAATGAAGCATTTACCCGCAGAACAACTGTCGGCAACGAACGTTCTCTCGACACGGCCCCAGCGACAGGAGCCGCCGAGGCTCCGAACGAACCTCGAGATTCTTCGTCGTAGCGACGACGCTCACCCGACGGACGATGGACGGATCAGAACGAACGAACGAACGAACGGACCGTGTCGAGGAAGGAAGGCTCAGAGGTGACCTGCTCGAAGCTGCACAAAGCACGAAGCCCGAGGAAGAAGTAGGAGCCTGTGTCGGCGTGGACTCGATGCTCGTGAAGCTTTAACTCACGCGTCATGGTGCTACACGAGAGCATGGATCAGGCGTGAAGGAAGCGTGGCGCAGTAGCGAGGACAGAACATGGAGCCGCATCGCACGCCATGTGTGCTAAGCAAGGCCTAGCAAGGTTTGGCGCTTGGTGACTCATCAAGGGATTCGGATGCCTAATTTACCAAGTAGGAATCGAAATTAGAGGACAAAATTGGAATCTCGAAGCCAGTGGCTATGACCAAGGTAGAATTGCGAGGTAAGTTGATGTCGAGAGAAACGGAGCGGAACGAGACGAAACTCTCGGTAAGGGGGCTCTGATTTCTCCCTGCTCGCGGAAAACGAGCACGGCAAGAATGATGGCAGAGGAGTGAGAACGATCGTGAGGGGCGTTTGTGTAGGTTGTGGTATGATTCGGTAGCAGCTGGGATATTGTTCCAAGTTCTCTGCTGCTCATCAGAGCCTTGAGTGTGTTTTGGAATATTTGGGTGAATTTTGCGGATTGTGTTGACGATTGATATGACGCTTTTGTCTACAAGGGCCTGAGGTTGTATCGTCTTCTTGTTCACTACGCACACGTTTCCGTTGCCGTGAAGTATCTGTCCTCTGGTTTCTTCCTCGATGTTGACTGAAATGATGAATATCGTGGAGAGCACGTGTTCGAGCAACTGATCAGGAGTGAGATTGTAAGTTTTTTGGTCTGTTTCGGCCTTTGTTAGGTTAAGGGAGATTGTTCAGGGTATGTGGTTTTGGTCTTCGTCTATGAGATTGTTGTCGTGGTTGTGGTCTGAAAAGAATGGTGGCGGGTTGACGAGGAGAGATTTTTCACTTTGTTGAGTAGCGGAGTTGTGTTATCTGGTTGGATTGAATCTGATAATGCTAGGGTTTGGCTTCGCTGCCTTGTCTTAAGGAAGTCCTGGTAGTGAGGAAGCTGCGGTGAGAACGTTGTCCTGGTTGAGGACGTCGTAGCGCTTGAATGAGTTAGCAAGAGCGGATATTGGGAATTGGATGGATTCGTGGATGGCTAGTTTCATGTGAGAAATGGTGTTCGGGTTATGAATTTGTAGCATTGTTCTGATATAGGGCTTTAAACACCTTCTGGGTTTCTGAGACTGAGAAAGTCCTGACATTGGAGGATTACGGGGCCGAAGGTGCATTTTAGAGTGATCAATAGCACTGGAATTTATCCAGAATTTCAGAATTTGGGCTCTGTTTTGGAGATATGCCGGCGGCCCCCTCAGGGTAATTTGAGGAGCTGGTTTGTGTTTTGGTTTCGGTGTCTTCAGGCAGTCGTTGGCTTTCGAATCACGACACGCTAGTTGAGGACTAGGGAATGCAAGATTTGATGAGGGTTTGAACATGGTTTTGTGGAACGAAGATTACCAAGACTTTTGACTTTCCATAATGTAGGATTTCAAAAATGCACTCAGAGGAAGGAGATGAGGCGGAATAGAACAGGAGGCAATGGAGATGCTACGATTAGATTAGCATTGCGACAGCACTCTTTAGCGTATCACCCTTCGGGAGAACGATCGTCCCAAGGTTTGACACAGGATTCCTCTGGTCCCCTCATTTTTGGAAGCCAATCCAAACAGGGTTGTGATGCATTTTTCTCTACATGACGTGAAGGCACGACCTCCCGATAAGCTCCACAAGAGTGGCAAAACACGCTTGTCAGCTTAAGCGCTGTGCGTCGGAATTAGTGAATTCTTAAGAGCATAGGAGAAGTCATGGATACTTTGAAGGATTTGTTGGAGGAGGCGAAACGTCGGACAATTCTGGTCGCAATTTTCTCCCTTTTCCTGGCGTACGCTATGTCTTTGACCAGCAGTTCGGTATGGATCAATCTACCTGTTGCGATTCTCGTCTTAGCTGCTTTGCGTCGTCTCTCTTTCGAGGTTGAGATTCGGTGGAAACTTTTTGAAAGCGAGCGTTCAACAACATCGAATTTGCACCAGTTAGGCATCCACGATCCGTTGCTTTCCGAAGCTTCCCATGCTGTTGTAAACAGATGGCGCCATCAATTTGATTCTCCTGTTGTTGAGGCTGCTGTGGATGATCTCACCAAGGGTATTATTGACGAGTGGGTGACCAATCTCTGGTACTCCTCCGTCACTCCGGACCGAGAGGCTCCTGAGGAGCTCCGCATCCTCATCAACGGCGTGGTAGCAGAGGTTGCCCAGCGTGCCAAGCGTGTAAACCTTATTACTCTTCTTTCAAGGGACGTGGTGGATCTTGTGGGCACACAGTTTGCGCTATACCGGCGAATGAAAGCGAGCATTGGATCTGATATAATTGATTCACTATCCACCGAAGAGCGAGACGAGAAGTTGAAACAGTCTATGATGGCTTCTCGTGAGTTGCATCCGGCCTTGATCTCCCCCGAAGCTGAATACCAGGTTTTGAAGAGGCTAACTGGAGGCATCGTAGCTTTGGTACTCAAACGACAAGATGCACGTTGTCGACTATTGAGAATTATGGCTCGGGAGCTCCTGGCTTGTGTAGTGCTGCGTCCTGTTATCAATCTCGCTAGTCCTGCGTTCATCAATGAAACGATTGAGAATTTCGCATTGGCTTCGCATGAGAAAGCGCGTCTTGCAGCTGAAGAAGCTGCCGAAGCAGCGAGAGCAGCCAAACAACGGCTCCCGGATCGGGTTATGCAAAGGAAGCCTTCAGTTTCCGGTCTGGAGATGACTTCCTTGGCGAAATCAGAAACTATCGCAAAAGCATCAGGAATTGTCTCAAGCAAGAAGAATGATGAGAGGCTATCCGCTTCAGTCGGAGACATTGGCATGTCTTCTGCAGGACAACAGGGTGTTCATGATGATGTGGAAGAATGGGGACCCATTCCTCGTGGAGATTGGGCCCAGGTTCTCGATGCTGTAACACAACGCCGAGCACAAGCACTTACTCCTGAACATCTTGATAATTTATGGGCCAAAGGGAGGAATTATAAGAAACGAGAAAATCAGAAAGTCGCAGCTATTGCTAGCGGAATCCAAAGCAATAGAGATAGTACTGAGAGAGCCACAGCAGTTGATCCTGTCTCTAAAGTGCCGAAGATGTCGTCTACTGGCAAAGGCAGTCCTGCAATCACAGATTCTGCAGATGTCGTACTGGCTACGTCCATTCCGTTGAAGAAAGAACCAAGTAACACTAGCGAGCAGTACAAGACGCTGTTATTTGGGGACCCCAAGGATGATGAAGGTTTAGGAATACGCGGGATAGGATTTTCGCCAATTAGATCATTCGATCGCAACTCAATTAGGCCAGATGGTTTCAACAATACTCAGCTTACCCCTAGTAGGAAAGCTTCAGAGCTAATGAGGTGTCGTAGTAATGAAGACTTAACGTCCTTCAGCAGTGATCACCAACCAATGGCAGCAAATATTACACATGTGCTCAATGGGGATAGTAATCTCACAAAGTCGGAGTTTGAACCACATGATTTGCACCGACCTCATCGACGTTTAACACACCGGAAGTCCAGAAGTATGGGTGGTGAACTCGATGGTTGGCTGCAGTCAGGACGGCGAGGTGAGGGACTTTCGACACTTTTAAGTGCTGAGGAAGGAACCCTCGGTTGTGATGCTCCGCTCAGAGATCAGAAACTTGAGAGCAGTGTGGTGAAGCCTGAGAGAGAGGAGGCGCAGACTTCGCAGTTGGCCATGAAATCGTCTCCGCAAGTGGTGCCTAAGTTACTGAAGTGTCGGGTGAGTGTGAGTGCTGTCAAGGTCTGAACAACAACGGCTATGGATTGTTGTCTTCAATTGGGTTTTCGCTTCTCAACTTCATTAATATGTTAGAGTTTACTCGTGTTGTCCTGCATCTCAACTTTGCTCACATTTTTATTTTTTTGTGGGCCAGGTCATGGGAGCACATTTTGAGAAGAGTGGATCGAAGTCGTTTGCGGTGTACACTATTAAGGTGACTAATACTCATCATCAAAGATGGCGAGTTGAAAGAAGGTCTGGCTAGAATTGATGGGCTTCCCTCTCAGATTTTGAATCGTGTTCATCTTGTTTCTTATGCATAGGGCAACAGTTCCTGTCTTTTTCTAAAATAATGTTCTGTTGATATGGGTGTATATTTGAAATATTACTACTCTGGGGCATCCTAATTATCTGGTTTCTCTGAGCTTCGTGAATTCAGCTATTTCCTTAAGCCTTCTCTGTACACAAGCCTCTGCGGATAGATTAGGGAGCGTTAATTGCAATTCGTCGTTGTTGCCCGTGTTGTAGGTATCGCAACTTTGAGCAGCTACATAGGCGCTTGAAAGATATACCTTCTTACAATCTGAGTCTTCCTCCAAAAAGATTTCTTTCTTCTAGTCTTGACACTACTTTTGTGCGGGAGCGTTGCATACTTCTTGACAAGTACTTGAAAGTAAGTGCTACTACTAAGTCGATTTGTAATGAGTATGGTTACGATGTGGTCATGTGACACAAGGGGTCTTTCATTCTGACATTTAGACGCATGTTTCTGGCTATTATCTGGTATTTTAACATGGATGGTTTTTGTCAAGTGTTGTTTCACATGATATGTTTGACCCCTGAACTCGAATAGCACGTCAATAATCCTGCTTTCTCTTTTGTCCTGTTTGGCTCTCAATCGAATCTCCAAACAGCTTTGTATGATTGGATCCGTCCATATCATTTGTTCACTTCTTAAGTCCTCATTTACTTTTTCTGGCTTGGCAGGATTTGTTAGCGATCCCCAGCCTCCTAGAATTGTCTGAAGTCGGCGATTTCTTCAGTGTCAACTCTCAGGTAATACATTCTACTAGCTACTCATCGATGGTCGGAACAAATTACTATTGAGATAACTTGATGTTATCATAGAATGTGAGTTTTTATTAGCTACCGTCATCAATGAATTTGGTGCCGTCCCCACATTTGGAAAACATGTGTGCAACAAATTGCATTGGTGTTCAAAAGAGGTTTCGTGTGATGTATGTCGATGCCCAGATGTAATACACTCCCTTTGGTCAGGCACGGGGGAAGTGTTGATCTTACTGGAATCGTCTTTAGTACAGGCTTGAACCTTTGGGTGTTCAAAAATATTCACGTATCTGCCGTTCTGATATTCTGAGGTTTGGTATTATTGCTTACAGCACTACGCCTTTGGCATTTCACCACCTATGATGGAGACATTAGCAGGTATATCGTCTTTGAACCATGTCTGCTTCTTAGACACGATGAGTGCTAAGAAAACCTCTTTTTTGCATATATAGTTTTCAAGTCCTGGATTAGTATTTTCTATGTGCATTTCTCCAGCTTACGCATGGCTAGATTGTCGTTCTCATACGCCAGCATGTATCAGTGAATGTAGATGATGCCATGGACGATATGTTTCGCCAGCTTCGAGGCGTTTCAGACAACATATCTGGGGCCCTGAACCAAGCAACAAGTGGAATTTTGCAAAGGTTGCCGTTAGGTAGTGGAGATGTTGATCAAGTTGTGAGCACGAGCAATTCTCAGATCAACAGAACCTCGACCTCCGAAAGTTCTTCTTCTCAACGTCCTGAGCCGTTGTCTACTCTTATTATTCCTGATAGTGACTTTGGTGAAAAAGGTCTTAGCAACTCAATCTTGGAAGAGGAGTACGAACGAAATTATCGCAGACATTCGGAGGATGCTGGACGGAGGGTGGGATCATTCGGATTGGATTCGGACAGTGAAACGGCTGCGGATGCTCTTGAGACCAATGCTATGAAGAGTGCAGTACATTTGTTTGCTTCTAGTCAGCCGGACATGAGGGCTAATCGGCTTTTTGGAAGGCGCTTAGAGAGAGCACTTTCAGATAGTCATTCGCCAGTAGATTCATTTGCCTCTGACGGAATTGTAGATGATTTGGTGATCCCCCAGGAGGTATGCATTGTCGAGGGTAGATTTTGGAGCTTTTAGTAGTACCGCCCCACAAGACTTGGTAGTTTTATTGCGTTTGCTGGTAGGCCTGCGTGTATGGTGTACTGACTTTGAGATGTCCAAAGTTTCCATTTTGTGTAGCTTAACGGAGGAGGTTTGTGGCTTCTTGCAGTGGTCCCCACCAAAAGTGACTGTTCCTCTTCTTAATTTGGTCGATCAGATTTTTCAGCTCCAAGGCCGTGGGTGGATCAGGTGCATCTTCATACACGTGCTACTCTGCTACTTCGTGATTGACTCTCGCAATTTTAGAACTGCACCATCATTTTCATCTCTGTTAGATATTAAACATTTGTTTTGTGTATTAACGTTGGTTGATTTGTTCAAGGATATGCTCAAATGCTTGAAGTTGTTGGATGTTTACTTTTTACAGACGTCAGGTTCTATGGATAGCGAAACAGGTTCTTCAGCTTGGCATGGGCGATGCTTTTGACGATTGGCTCATTGCTAGAATACAATGGCTTCGGAGAGAGGAGGTGGTAGCATCGGGCGTACAGTGGTTGAAGGGGGTGAGTAACCTGCGTTTTTTTGACATTGTTTTATTCGATACAAAACAAGTACAAAAGTTTACTGAGTTCGTCCATCATAGGGATTTTGGTGTGGAATGTGACAAGTTATAAACAACCAGATAAGTTCGTGTTGAGCAAAAGCTCCGGTTGTATGCAGGTGCTTTGGCCAGATGGTATATTTGTGACGAAGCACCCTCGGAATTCACCTCCAAGTGATTCATCGGCCCTGGAGGACAACCGGATGGAATTTCCTGACGAGAGCAAAGCGGGGCAGCAACGTCCGCCAGTGAATTTAACTGAGCAAAAGCCTGAGGCTGCAAGACGAGCTGCAGTTGTTCGAGAGATTATCCTTGGTACGTGTTGTGTTTTGTAATTAGTAGTTCAATTTTTCTGATAGTGTCAAAGGTATCAGAACAACTATGATTCACATTGTGACTGCCTAAAGCTAGCGATATTGAATGAAGACTTATATTCATATATATTGGTTAAATAGTATTCTAAATGTTTTTACATTAGTGAAATAGGTAATGTACGATTCTGAGACTGCTTCGTGCTGCAGACAAAGCACCTGCCCCATTGGTTAGTATTATTGGCAAGAAGCAGTACACAAGATGCGCGAAAGACATTTATTACTTCTCTCAGGTAAGATCCTGTTAAGCGTTTGGAAAAATTAGTAGCTCGAAGGTACTGAGTTCTTAGTAATCTTCATTTGAGATTTTGAACGGTGAGTCTATTGGAAATTTTAGTTTTTACATCAGATACACTGAACTACAAAAAAATTCACGCAAGAAATAGTTTGACCTACAATCCTTACAGTATTTGATGTAGGATTCATGGCTCTTGTGGAGGAAGAACATGCTGCTCTTGGCCACCTAGAATGATTGGTTGGAAGTTGTGGCTTGTGCAGGCTAGTGTATGCATGAAGCAGTTGGCGTACAGCTTTCTGGAAATGCTCCTGCTTGCCACATTTCCAGAGCTTCACGATTTGGTTCTTGATGTTCGTAGCAGTGTTATGTGACTGGTGCATTACATGCCATAGTACATTCCATAGCCAGTCAAGGGTGATACGTTTACACTGCACATTTAACAGGCAGTTGAATAGCAGCTTATGATCCTGACTCTGTATTATGACTTCTTAGTTTGATGATGTGTCTCGGTGGGCTTCTGTCAGCGGTCGGGATGAATACAATTTGTAGTTCATTTTTCTCCCAAAAGTGGGTGTAGATCGATAGGATGTAAGTACAATGTAAGAAGAAATTAATTTGATTAAATTAATTTTCATTAAGCTACGGTCACAATTATGGATGATGATGTTTTTACCATTGTTTCAATTGTTAGTGCTTCAAAGTTGCATCAGTTGGAGCAAGTGCAATGTGCTGGATTCAAAATCTCACATTATGTTATAATCAGGTGTTTGCAATTTAATTTAGAATGTTTTTTTTGTACAACACCCACATTTTGTAAGCTAAGGAATGGCTTCTCAGTCGATGGTCTTTTGAACGTCATTGTTTGTCAGGTTAATTGGGATTAATCTTCGTGGTTCTCTTTAGCAGCTACGGAAGAAGCGAGTGATAGCGAAGTCCTGCAAGAAGGATGCGTAAATAAATAAATTCACTGTTGGAATTCACTGCCAGATTTTCATCTCACGTTGATGATCGACTGCAGCACTCTGCTAGATTCCAGGAGTCCGAACTGGTATGTTTGCGAGTAGCTGAATGAACTCAATCTAGACATTTTTAGTACTTGAAGGAGAAACTTTTATAATATTTTTTAACCAACGTAGTTTAGTTTAGTTCAGTTAATTTTTCATAGTTTTTTGTAGTTTTCTTATACATAGTTTTTAAATATATAAACATAAATAAATCAACTAAGTTAATCAGATTATTGTAATTATGATTTCTGATTTTAGACATTACAAGTCATATGGTTTGTTTAATTCTTTAATAGATAATAAAGTTCATGAAGATATTTTAACCTCGTAATTTTATCAAAATCATTTGTAGAAAATTTAACCTTTTTCTCTTTTCTTTCTTTTTTGGTGATTTTAAAAATATTCAATGGTTCTCATATAACTTTAAAAAATACTTCATTAAGATAGTTACTATGTTAAGCATTGAGTGATTATACATAAACTTTTTATAACTAAAAAAGATGTTTAAATATTTATTATTTTATTTATTCAACCATTTTATATCATTAATATGGTGCAAAAAAAAAACACAATTTTCTTCTAAAAATTTTAAATTCATAAAAATATTGTAAAAGAAATATGTATATACACATATATTCCCGTGACCAAGTTCTCCACCAACCAACTCCACCCATGAAAGTTGGCCCGATTGATATCCTTATCAGGATATCAATCGTCCGGGTTTTAATCCCTGCCAACTGGCCATGGATGTCGGCCCGCAGCACGAGCTCCGCGGGCGCAGCGGCGGAGTCAGCGAGCCGAGTGTCGATCACGCACTACAACTGTAGCAATCCTCCTCGTCACGAAATTACTCCCCCACTTCTCGATTGCTTGCATCACAGACCTGCGCAGCAGCCAACATCATCGCGCTTTGATGGAACTCGAAGAAGATGGAGAAGAAGAATTTTCGACGGGGTGAAAATTCCCAGTGTCGGTGCCGCGACGATGCAAACGTGTGCAATCGGCCTTTGCCCCACCAGTCGCAAAGACGCGTGTGATGAAGACGGTGTACTCGCTGAGGAGTGCAGCCCCTGGAGGTTCATCTTTATCACACCCCGTATTCAATCGTGTTGTGACTGAGATGCTTACGAGTTTCCCAGCAATAGCATGGTATGGTGTGACGCTGTTTTAACCTCTGCTTTGTAGCTCCGCTTGCTTTTGTGCGGACTCCGTCGCTGGGTGTTGCATATAAGTTTGCAGTAGCTTGTTACTACCGTTTCTCCATTCTGGGTACCTCGAATATTTTCCAGCCGGATTATTGATTTTACGGTATGTCGGGGATAACGTTGTTGGAGGATTGAGTTATGATGGCCGTTCGTTGTGGTTGTTGTGAGTTCAAGTCGGGTGGGATGTTTCTTTGTGGAAGTGATGTTGGGTGAAGTTTGTTTGTGTGATTTGTGTACCTTGTGTACCTGGAATACTAGCTAGATCGTGTGCTTCCTTTGTACTTGTTGGGGTTGCTGCGCAGCGACCTTCATAGTTGCTGTTGTCATAGTTTTGTGGTGGCAACTTGTTTGTTTGTAGGGACCGACCATGAATGTTTATTGACCTCATCGTAGCATTTCTTGTATCACAGCACAAGCAGTACGAGTATCCCCAGAGAATTTCAGCGCTAAGGATTTTGGGTGGAGAGAGATAGAGAGAGAAGCTGAGGGCGGTTGATCGACGATGGTATTGATCAAGGACTCGAGGGTCCTGTTCAATGAAGCGGAGAATGATTGTGTCACAAATCGGCGGCGAGTCAACAGAGAATGGAGTCATAGAACCGTTTTGATAAATCCTTCGCTATGGAACTACTTCTACGTGCTCGCGATGTTAGTGTTAATGGTTGCATCACCGGCACTCTGCAATTATGCTACTGGTATTTTGCTTCACTTGCAAGCTTATTTTCGATCCGCTTGGTATTTTGTGGTTTCCCTTTGGGAGATATATTTGTCATAGTTGAGCTTCTGCTTCTGATACACAAATACTTTGGAGGTTTCTCATTTATTTGATTGTTTTCAATGACCTAAGTTTCTTATGCTGTTTTCGTTGCAGAGGAGAACACAATGGGAATAAATTATGGACGAGTCGGGGACAACCTGCCAACTTCTTCGGGAGCGGTAAAGATCATTTCTAGTTTAGGAATAACAAGAGTAAGACTCTTCGACCCGGATGCAGCAACCTTGTTGGCCCTCGGAGGCTCAGGACTTGAAGTCGTAATAGGGATGGGGAATGATGCAATCCCCCCTCTTATAGACCCTGCAGTGGCAGATCAGTGGATAGTCCAGCACATAGTTCCCTACGTCCCAAGTACAAACATCACGACGATTCTCGTCGGCAATGAGCTTTTTACGGACACAACCCGGGCATCAATTTGGCTTCAATTAGTTCCGGCGATGAAAAATTTGCATAGTAGCTTGCTAAGCAGGGGGCTATCCATCAAGCTCTCGACAGCAGCAGAGCTCAACACTTTGTCATGGTCATACCCACCTTCCAAGGGCGTCTTCCGAACGGACGTTGCAGTTCCTGTGCTGACACCCCTGTTTCAGTTCCTCAATGACACGAATTCCTATTTTTACATAAATGTCTATCCCTACTTCGGCTGGAGGGATGACTCCGCGTTTATTCCTCTGGATTATGCTCTATTCACCCGGAAGACGCCCTTCATTGTAGACGGCAGTCATAGTTATTACAACCTGATGGATGCACAGTTGGACGCCATAGCCGCTGCCATGGAGCGCTTGGGATTCGGCAACGTGAGACTTGCAATCAGTGAGACTGGGTGGCCGACTGTAGGAGCTGCAGGAAACGTTGGTGCAGATACAACTACAAATGCTAAAACATACAACACAAACCTGATTCGGCACATCCTTGGGAGAAAGGGTACTCCCAGAAGACCTGGTATTTTCATTCCTACATTTATTTTTGCTCTTTTCAACGAGAATTTGAAGCCTGGGGGAGTGTCGGAGCAGAACTGGGGTGTCCTATATCCAAATGGCACCGAGGTCTATTCACTTCAATGGAAAGGTCTGGACAACAATGCGACATCTGCGAGTCCGATGGTTGCTCCAGCAATAGCTCCAAGTCTCCCGGTTGTTGCAACACCTCCATCTCCATCTCCTCCTTCTGCATCTGCTTTAAGCCCTAGCCCAAGTTCAAGTTCAAGTGTGGATTCCTCATCTGTGGTGCCTGGTGTTGGACCATCAGCTGGCCCCTTGAGCAATTCTGCCACAAACCGAGCAGTCCTGGGCTGGTTTTCGGTCACTCTGGCAATTTTTGCAGCATTCCTCATCCCCTGTGTTTGAGGTTAGTGTACTTAGTTGTCAAATTTGCACTAGTTGATTCTTTGTAAATTTATTTAGTGGTCAATTCTTTTTTCAGCGAACTAATTGCTGATTCCTTCATTGAAAAGAATTCATGGATTGATATTTTTGTACACATACTTATTGCACGTTCTTACTTAAATGATTTCTGCGTGATCAATGCTTTTCTTTCACGTGTGGTGTTGTGAATTTTCGGTTTTGGAGCCTTTTTGTTAGGGTCTAGCCTTTTGGTGAAGAGTTATTTTGATGCAATGACATGGTCTATGCCGTGTCTATATATGTGTGTTGGCAGTCAGACACTCAATTCCTTCATGTCAGTCTGTTGGAAGGGAAAATCAAGACAATAACGTTATTTTAATCCATTTCAACGCTGATAGACTGGAGTATTGGTTTATACTCGTTTGTATATTTGATTTGTCTTTCTTTCGGGCTTTTCGCAAGCCATTTTGACCCAAATGCTTTCTTTCAGAGGATATCTCTTTTGCAAACTCAAGGGCCAATACTATTGCCAACTTTGTGATTCTTCAGTATTAGTCTGTGAAGCGGTGTACAATTCCTTTCAGTTCTTTAGGACACATTTCCTTTTGTGATCCCTGCTGCATCTAGGTTTTTGATTTCAGAAGAGTTTTCGAGATAGGAAAGAATTGTCACGTACTATTGCTGCACTGTTGGGAGTCAACTCTTTTATGGAATTTCAGCTGGAACTAGACATATTATTTTCATGCTAAAATATTTATTTTATCAAACTGTTCTAACAAAAATATGGGTTTTTAAAGTGTGTAAAAAAACATTTTGGGTAAAAAGGATAAGCACTACCTAGAAATTATGGTTTGATTCTTTCATTTAAAAAGAATAATAAGAAGAAATATGATTTTATTTTTATGTAAAAGTTATGTAATTCACATACATGTATCAAATTTGTTAATTTTTCTTGACAAGGTTGATGCCAAGGACACAGTTCGCCATATCAAATATAAATAAATAAGTTTTGTACACATAAGATTAGCTTAACTATGCTAGAAAAAAATTTGATAGCTAATTGATTATGCCAAGCTACAAAACAAGATTAAAGAGATGAATTTACAAGGCCACAAATGACATTAGTTTTTCATTTTTTAAAACTATTTGGAAGGCCAAAGGGTTGTTTTTAAGCTTTTGGTAACTAATCATATAATCCACCAAACAAAGATTTATAAGAAGACTTGATACATAAGTTTCTAAGAAATTCTTTAAATATTCTATAATTGTTCATTAAGATTTAAAAGAGTACAGAATGTTCTAATAAAATCAAAAAAAATTATGTGCATATCACTTGTTTTTCTAACAATTACCTCTATAAGAAGTAGATTAAAGCTTATTTTTATATTAAATTTTATCTATGTATATAATAAATTATTTGTTAAATGTTATATACTTTGATTAAGTCCAAAATAATGTTTAGATCTTTAACACTAATAATGTCTAAGACCAAGACTTGTTGAACATAAATAATTTAAATAAAAATATATATTTTTTTATGTAAAGAACATTTCTTTTGATAGTTCTTTGACATAACATATTTATATTCATAAAATCTAGAATTAAACTTATTGAATAAGAATTTTGAGTTTACATTCTTAAAATCTTAAAATAAAATATATTAAAAATATTAATTGAGAATGTTGCTAATGCCACCACATTTGTTTTTGTTGTTGCCACCACAATCCTCTATCCACCACATGCCACTTTTATTCAATACCTTTCAAATTATTTGATTGAAGAATTTTTTTAATTGGACTAAAAAATTCCAAAGAAATATGTTGAATAGTTGGGAGATTGTGGTGGCATTAGCAATATCTATAAGTGAATCTAGAAGACAATAATTTAACTCTCCACATACTCAAGTAGTTTTTTATATTGTATCAAAATTACCAACTAAATCTAAACTTCAAATAAAGTTTTTTTTTTTTTTTTTTTTTTTTAAATGTATCAATTGATATGTATTTTACCTGACTTTCTTATGATGGTTAAGGTTTACTTATAAAATTTATTAAAAATATATTTCTAAATTTTCAAAAAAAGAAATTAAAAAAATGATAGTGTGTATTGGAAGCAAATATACAACATGTAACCTTTAAACAAAAAAACCACATTTCTATTATAAAACAAATCAAGTGGGGTATAAATCAACAAAATAAACCAAAGAGACATATTGGCCTTTTTATTGGCTGCATCAATTAATCATCATTGATTTCATCAAAACTTTACAGTGAAGCAAAAGTTTTAATGAAAAAAATGCAGCCAATCAAAGGTTAAACTGAGTTTAGTATCAGAGGTTAAATATGAGTTTAAATTTAGGTTTAACTGAGGTCACCAACTATGTTGACTATAAGTGTCAAATTGGCTACCTTGAAGATAAGAATCCTTTACTTCACAATTATACATGTTTCTTCATTGAACACCATTGCAGCAATTTTTGACTTAATGTAGAAGATTTTTAGGAATTGTGTTGTTGATTGATAAGTTGAAGTTGTAGGCACCCCCAACCATGGCATGTGCATTCTAAAGAGGATTATATGGTGATTTCATGCTTCACCGTTAATGTTGTCTTTTGTGGACTCTCTCTTGAAGACTCTAGATTTACATCAATGAAACAATGTTGGTTGCAAGGTATTATATTAATTCTATCTTAACAAACAAGGCTTGATCTCAGCATCTGTTCTACCAATGTGTATAGTACCATTGGGCTCTCCTTTGTCATCTGGGCAATGGCTTTGTATCACTGTGACATCAAAGTCTAGAAAAAAGATTCTTCACATGCTCATAAATGTTGTGTTATTTGCAAAGGCATATCTCAACAAACAACACTTGGAATTGAATTTTCTTTGGGATCCTTGGCCTTGCTATTATGCAGTGATTGCAAAATGTACATATCTATGGATGATTTGAGAATAAATCTTTAAAACCTCAAAGTGAGCAATCAAAGTTTCAACGTTGTTGATTTGAAGCCAGTAAACATGGATAACCTCACATGTAGTACTTCATACTAAAGACCAGGATTTTTTCTCTGTAGTTCTTTGGGATAGAGCAACCCTATATTTTATGTTTTTCTCAATTACAAATAAGATATATCTATATATATATATATATATATAAGCCATTTGTTGACTTCCTATTTGTAACATTTTGAATCATAAATCATTACATTTATAAATCATTACAGCAAACAGTTTTCTCAATCAGCTGTTGCCATGTGAAATTGGACATGCATCTTTTCATGCATCTTCCTCCCTCCCAATTGATTTAGCAACCATATAGACTATAACAGAAAACTGTAGAGAGAGAAATTCTTCCAAGGTATTGACTCTAAACCCGGAACCCTAGAATGGTGCCGAAATGGCGCAAAGCAGTTGACGTTTGACAGCGCGTCGGGGTTCGCGAGGCGAACGGCTCCAGGTGGTGGGTGCTGGACAAATGGGCCGAGGAGGAGAGCTGGATTTGTCGAGTTGTGGGTTCGCGGCGTTCAGCCTCAACGACCCACGCCAGACGCAGTCACATACACACCCAACACTCGTGGAGCATCGCCACAACTATGGCACCCAATTCGATCTTCTCCATTCTCCACTTGTTGATCAGATTACCGTAAACATTGCAGTTTCGATCCCTCTCCTCGAAGGCATCGCCGAGCAGCAACGCTCAAAACCAGAAATCCGGTGCGAATTTCCGTGCCCTGAGGACCACCTGCCATGGTTCGATGGCGTGGGGATGCCAGGTTTTTCCTCGTGCTTGCGTCCCTCTGCTGTGTGGTCTCTTTTTCGAACGGGCGGGTCTTACCCAACCTACCCTCTTCTCCGAGCGCGAGAGTAGGAGAATTGGAGAGGGACGGATTCGAATCCAGTGCCGAGTTTTATAGAATCGTGGCTGAGGTCCCATCGACGACGAAGACCGATGTTGAGGTTGTTCACTTCACTGATTCTGTGATTCTGCAGCACTTGTTTTGTGTGTCAGATTCACTTTCGTCCGTTTTTCTGGGTTTTCCGTGTACCCTGCCTTGCGAGTTTCAGTTTGAGAATTTAGAAGCAATTAGTATTTATTGAACAGATCTGGATGCGCTTCTAAGTAGCGTGGCAGGACGGGTGTAATGTGGGATCTGGTTTGGCAGGGGGGAAAAATTCAGTCGAAAACGCAATCTTCGGCCAGTGAAGCACAAAATTGCTTACTCGGTCTTTGCAAGATCTTTAGAAGAAACGGTGACACCGACGACCAATACTGGCAGCTTTCAGATCCTTCCATTCCTGTTATTCAAGGTATGCCTCGAATTGTCGCAAGCTGGAATTGTCCCCACTGTTGTCTCACTGACTCAGCATAGACATTCCTACGAAACTTTTCGAGTCGTGGATGGTAAAGAAGTAAGCATTCATAGTTTCACTTGTAGACGTGGTCGCTGATTCTGTTGCTTGATGAATTGACTCTTATTCTTCTGGCGTCCAATTGCTGTGATGTTTTCAGGCAAGAAGTGGACGAAGACGTTCGGGAAGATCGCTGAGTGGGTACTCCACGCAATCGTAGTTGTGCTGGTCGTCGGTGCACTGTCTTACTTAGTATCATGTCTCTGCGCCTGTTGCATAGGTTTGGATTTACTAGCAGAGATATGGCGTCGCCTGGGCGGGTGGTCAGCGTTCGATTATTTTGTAAATGTTGCGCCATCTGTGGCGGAAATTGATCCCGAGCCATTACCCCTTCTGCGCAGCCAAGTTGAATAAAGCGGATCGAGCTCTCATATCGTTCATGGAGCAGTCTAGCTTGGCTCTGACCGAATTCTTCAAATTGACCTCTGGAGTATGGATATGATCCGCAAATGGTAGTCTTACACGGTTATCTATGTTGATCGCCTTTCATTGTGATGGTGGATAACCGCACACGATAACCAGTCGATACGTGAATGCAAATTCAACCTAAGTTCAATGCTGGAATACAGAGGCTGGGACCATGTCTTCAGCGTAACTGCTGTTAATGTGCTCTTATTGAAACGGTAAAACCTAGCCGCGAAACAAGAATCAACAGAGGGACTCACTGTTACCAAATTTCTACATTTGGGTTGTTGGAATGTTTCACTCAAATTGGGACATATCTAAACTAAATACTAATCAAAAGAAATGTCTATAAGATGAATGGATGACAGAATACCCAATATGAGATCCTGATCTAATTTACAGCTTGCTGAAGACGAAATTTATGCCACTCATGCAGCACAGCTGATTGTAATGCCTGATGCTCCATATCTTCAGGAGAAGGAAGAAAGAGGGTGGTGGGTTTTTTCTTCGGCTTTGTTTCCAAGCCTGGCAGCAAACTGTCATCTTCTGAATCCGAGTCTAGTTCAGGTTCCGCCTGAGGTGGTGGCTTAGCTCTAATAACGTTCAAAATCTCAATCAATCTCTTAAGTTTTTCAGCAGCGGCAGCCTGTAATACCAAAAAATGTTTCGCTGATTAGCAGATTTACGTAAGACAACTGCAACATAACCAGCAAGTTGAATATATATATATATATATATATATATATAAAAAGTGCTAGATTCAATGTTGATTTGAATGTGACGAGAGTCCACACGAATAAGAGAAAAATATCAATGAAAATATGAAGAAGCATCAATAGCAGCAAACGCTTCTGACCTCTACTTCCTTGTCAGAGACCCCCCGCAGAGCATTGTCGGTCAAATCATCAAGCCATGTTTGAACATCAGCACCAATCTCATCCACAAGTTTGCCTGACGATGACCTCACCACAAACTTGCATACCATAGTCTTCGTTTCTTCACCAAGATCCACATCTCCACTAACTTCACTTGTTCCAAAGATCATCATTCCCACTAGGTCCCCGTACCAGGACTTAGCAGCATAGCAAATCTGCACAAAAATGGTTACTCAGCGATGTTCTCCAAACAGATGCACAATGGAGATTGTTGAGAGCTCGACCCACCACAATCTCAGTGCTAAAATGAGAATACGAATACTGCAGGAGGCAAGGAAAGTAGGAACAATTAAGAGAACAATAGCAAAATCGCATTTATGGACCCAGCAGGTGTTCAGAAAAGTACTGAGTTGTTAGTTTGACCTCAGAGATGGTTTAAATGAGACTTCATAATCCGACTGCAGAGTATTGGAAAAAACATAAGAAATCAGATAAACATACCTGAAATCCTGCCACGGTCCGCAAGACATGAGAGCACACTTTATGGAAAGGCTTGGATGATAAAGCTTTCAATCCTGAAAGAACAGGTAAAACAGCGGGTTCCATGTACCCTCCAGACACGGTTGCTGCTTTCAGCCCTACACTTTCATAAGTGTAAGCCCCAGTGTATTCGACTATCGCAGGCAGGCTTGGCCACAGCCTGAAAAATTCCACGGGTGAGAGAGCATATGGAACCAGAAGTTCAATGAGAGGTAGCCGATATAATCCACACCGTAAGATCACTGGTTCCCCGTACTCGGATGAGTAATTTTTCCGCAGCTTTGCATTATGACTTCCTTCCTCTGGGGCTGGCTCGCCTTCCTCTCCATTGGCTAATCCAACTCCACCAAAGAATGGATAGTACAAGACTTGTACACACAGGGAGCAGCGTTCAAACCTTGATACTCCAACAGTAACGCTAGATAAAACTGGGTCCTACATTGACACAAAAAAACTGTTAAAAGCTCGCATGTTTTCATTGAATGCTGCCATAATGTTCCCTTTGGCATTCAAGTCAAAGAAGAATTCTCGTCATCTAAGCCTCACAATGTTACACTAATATACGCCAAGGTATTCAAGCTTCTATCTCCATTGCTCAAAACCTAATTCAAAAAACAATTCACGAAACTAAAAGCTCACCTGTGTGTGCAGCTGCTGTAGTTGGCGGACACCCTGAGCAGACCCGTCCATAAATCGGAGCGCGCCAATTAGCCCAACTCGCACATCCACCCGCTTGAGTTCTTGCTCAGTCAAATTAAGAATCTGGAAGCATGCTCAAAAGTGCAGAACAAAATTACAGAGTGTTCTGGAAGCAAAAATCCTTGAATATGAAAGTCGTCGACGAGGATCTTAACCTCGTACACTGGATTCTTAATCCTGGCTTCCCAGCAATGATCACACCAGTAAAAATACACAAAGCAAGCAGCCCGTAAAGAAATTTGACTGGTAGAGCACGGTAAACACGGTAGAGCCATCGTGCGAAAGCGGGATGATGGGGATTCTCACACCTTTAGATGTAGTGTTAACCTCTTCTCGTGTGGATCAGTCAAATGATACGCCTCGACAAAGCAAGGATCACTGCTTCCTGACAAAGTTTTGGGCATAGGAGCAGCCTTCAAATAAGTCATACCAGACGTAGCCAAGGTAAGTTCACTTTGTGCAGGTCTCCAAAGCTCCTGAACAGCAGTGTGAACTAGGTCTTCGAGCTTACGATCCTGAGCCGCCGATACATCAAAGTACTGAACGGAAAGCTTGTGGTGAGTGAATGGATAGTCTCCTGTAGAACCTGAATTTCCCACCCACCTTTGCGAACAAGTCCGACTTCACTCTGTTAGTTATGAAAGATAAATTCGGCTTTGCATAAGAGACATTGAGTGCTTTAAAGTCTGCATGAATCAAAGTGATTATATACTGAGAAGAGCAGACAGCTGTCGTCCTCCACCAACCAAAGAGATAAAACACTCAAACATTCTTGGACCAAATATATTGATTAAAAAGTAAACAAGAAAATAAGGTTATACATTTCATTGAAGTAACACATTGTGCTTACATATGTATTACATATGGCAGCACATGTTCACGAGGAAGAATAATAACCATGGTCAGTATTATTTGAAAGCAACTTACTTGTTGTCAGGATGATTGGATATATATTTGAGCTTCTGTAGGATGAGGCGGCATTGATGTTTATTGACAGAGTCTGCCAAAGCACTATTTCTGAACTCTTCAAGTTCTGTTTTCAGCATTTGTGCTGCTCTTAAGTTTCTTGAACCTAGGTGCTCTGAGCAAACAAGCAAAGCCTGAACATCCTGTAACCTGCAGGATCAAGATATGAGAAAAAATTAAGTGTTAAATGCCAATAATGTGCATATCAATGGAGAAGCTAACTCGATGGAGCATTCACACAGCTGGTTCACACGACGAAAAGAAAGACTCAAACATAGTAGGTCTTGAAATTTTAGAGGAAGTAAAAAAAAATGAATTTGCTGGTAATCGCCATCCTTATGATGTTCGACAAAATACTAATTAACATCAACTCGCAACAATGATGTGCACCTGTTGATGATGGTTGCAGTGGAATCTGTATTAAAAATGACTTTGTGAATGTGATCAATAATAATATTGAGAGGATCTTCAGGATCATCTGCAAGCAGTGGGTCCAGACTTTCAAGATCAAAGTGCTCCGCCAAAGCCCATATAAAACGCGCTCTTAATCTTGCAGTTGTAACCTGAATCCAAGTAAAGCGATTCAATGGGTTTTCTCATCGTGCTTCCATGAGAAATGCAAAATTGATAAAACCCACAAAGAAAGAACAATTGAATTCTCTTGATTACAATTGGAGAAAGCTGATAAATAAGTTATGGCCACAAAGACGAACAAAACATTGCACGAATTATCAAATTATTACCTCGCTGAGGTCTTTCACGAGTTGCTTTTGCAAGGCTTGCAACCGGATCTCCGCCTGGATTTGTTCAGGTGATGCACCATCTTTAGCCTTCTTCACTCCTCCAACAGTATCGTAGATATGGCACAAACGCACTAGCAACTTCAAATAACAGTCCATAGCATATGTCCGGCCTGCATCAGGTAGACGGCCACATAACTTTTATGTACATCAAAATTGAATGATATCAACGGCATACAACTGATAATGAGTGACAAATACGGCTTCGGTCCAGGGGACAACAGAAACCAACAAAGTGGGATTTTGTAATACCTACCATGAATAATCAAAGACTAAATCTCACGAAAGTGATATAAGAAACAAAATTAAAAAATGTAGAGTTTAATATACAAAATAAAAAGTGTAAGTATGTCTGTGAGCAAGAGAGAGCGGTTTCAACATGCTGCAGAAAAACATAACAGCAGGAATCAAGCACAAAATGAAGGGATCATCATTATCATCAGAAGATGAAAAAGATGAATTTCTTCTAGCCCTTGAGGTTATGGAAGAAAATATGATTACCTTGACAGTCCCACTTCACACAGGGTCGGCAAACCTCAACAACTTCAAGAGCTGACTGAGTCCAGCTCATCGCGCCTGAAACTATACCATAATTCAAAGCTCCAATGACACGGCTCTCAGGACCTGTAGTTTTCATTCGAGTAAGAGGGACAGAGAGCTGAAAACAGCTCTCAACAAGACAAGCAACTAACTCTTCGCGAAAAAGGCTTTCACTATTGATGCTTGCCAGATCTTCTCTGAGTTTCGCATCCTCAAACAATGCAGCTATGTTAGTGTTCTGTAGAGGTTTCTGACCTCTCCTAACACTTTCTTTAGCAAACAGGTCCACACTAAGAGCAGTCCGGCAAATGCAAGCAAGTGCATGCATGCGATCTGCCTCCACTCTGAGATTCCTAACCATCAAAAGAAGCCGCTTGAAGAGCGAAACCTGTAGAACCAGGTATGAAAAAGTCAAAGAATTTCCTCGGGTTGCCAAATAGATGAAAGCGGAACAGCAATCAAATTAACCGAATAGATAAGCGAGTCAACAAACCCAAATGTACCTGGAGGTGTAAATCCAGAAGCTGAAGGTTCTTTACTACCGCTCGAACAATGCTTTCCCTACCCGCATTAAATTCTTGTCGATCCCACAGAGTTAAGAGAGCAGTGATCGGTGCCGACGCCCACTCTGGCTTTCCTCCAGGTACGTCAGCCAAAGAGAGGAGGTTGACACTGACTTCATACAGTAATGCAGGGTCGAGGACAAATAAATAGGGCATAAGGTGAGAGACAACATCAGAAATCCCCAGGATGTGCTCAGCATTGCGAAAATCTCTCTGTTCGACTGCCACGCGAGGGGTTCCCCGATAACCTGATAGTTTCTGCAGACAAACTCATGTTAGCAAACGTTCCTAAAACGGGAGTAAAGAAACCAAGAGCGCCAACACCATATGATTGGTTCCATACTGCGGAGACCAGAAGGGAGGCAATCACAAGATCTGAACGCTTGATGATGTGTCTGATGTACCGACAGGGCATAACGACGGATCATAATCTAGAACCTCAAAGGTATGTAGCAACGTCTGCTGCTAAATTTCCAGCTGAAATATCCGCATATCGTTACGAATTCATGGATACAACCGCGACTACATTCAAGTGAACTGAACTTTGTCAAAAATAGTCAACATGTTGCTACCATCTTCAAGAACCACCACAAGCACCGTAAAAGTAGACGACTGCATAAAATATATGATTGCCACCTAACCTAACAGTTGAAAAATGCACGTTGGAAAGCAAAGTGCACCTAGGACCTAAGACTGTTTCGCAAGTCTTGAACGCAGGCGGACGCGATTTGAGGTAGAACCATAAGGTACTTCAGATAGCTGCGAGATTGTTTAAGCACATTTCGGAGTAGTGTTTTACTGCTAAAACTCGCATGCCGCGAGCTAGAAGAGACATTACACTCACAAAATTTTGTTCCTCATTACCATATATTAAACTGGAAAACTTGAACATAGGGAAGATCTCAAACCTGCATATCTTCCACCATTCTAGTAGCCACAGCTTTTGCCGAAAATACGAGAGGGAAGACTGTTGCGCGAAAGCTATCAGTCGTCAACACCTTTGAACGAGCCATCAACAAATCCCGCTTCTCCCAAACGAACCTACACATAGCCACCACCCAGCTAGCTCGAATAGCGAGAGAATCCTCACTCGGAGCCAGCTTATCCCCCGCTAATCTACTCAGCTTCTTCGTACTGAACTCCAAAAACAAGCGTCCCACACCTTCAGAAGCAATTCTCGCAACAGCGTCCGAGGGATGCAACATACTTTCTCCGATCTGGCGCCACCATCCCCCCACTCTTTCCAACAATGCAGGAGTCGTAACGCAAAGATTAACGACATCGTCACGAGCAAGCAAGCACCCGAGCGTTTCCACGATCGCATATCGCAAGTTCGGGTTATCGTGTACAAGACAGTTCGAAATCTCCTTGCTAATATCCGTGATAAACTTCCCAAACCACCAGGAAGGAATAGCCGATAAAAAAGACACGGCCGCCGCCGTGACATCGGAGTCAGGGAAATTGAAGTCGTTTTGGATCCCGCGGCACACTACTTCCCACTGATCGGCCGTCAGGCGAGTGCACCGGATCAAATCAAACGCCAACTTCTTGCACACCGCACTCGCGGGACTGGCAATTATCTGCTCGCACGCTGCGCTTGCAATTGAGGAAATGTCCTTTCCACCGGCTGCATGCTGCAGCGCCAGCAGCAGAGCTTGCGCTTGACGAATCCCGTCATTCGACGCGAGCTCTGCCCTTATTGAAGCGAACACATGATCCATCACTCACAAACAGTCACGCCAACCTCTTTCCCGATCCACGACACACATTCAACAACAACACTATCGCAGATCGAACACCAAATCCAACACGCTCTCATGCGGCACCAATCTTCGACGAGACTGCCCCCCTTCGCAAGCATCACCGCCGCTCCTTGGATTCTAACCTCACATTGCGAAAAATAATACTACAAGACAATGCTCAATCACAGAACCTTATTCCTCTCGCATCCTACGAAAATTTACACACATACTGGCTACAATGCAGCCCATGCGAAAGATTAAAACCCTACGTCGCCATTGTTGGGCATCGATCTTGCGAAGAGAGAGCGATTTACTCACATTCCTGCCTCTCTTCCAGAACAGAGTTTCTGGCCATGGATTTTCGAATGGAATTGATGGATGGGTAAACAGCCTCGTTCATTCGTTCGTCAACGACATTCATCTATATGCCATTTTTAGAAACCTCTGCAACCATTGGTCTTGCCGCTTTATATTATTTTGTTGCCCTACGCTTTTTGTTAATAACACCTTATTTCACTTTGTACTAGAATCCTGTTTCCATTGATATCTACCAAGTAGTGGTTTCTAATTTAGTTAGTTGATTGTTGGGTGTAGTTCTTGAGACCTAGAGTGAACTGCATGTTTGCTACTGTACACTAGAAGAGTACTTCACTGTAATGCAGAAAAGAATGTCTGCAATCCATCAATAAACGAAATAAATGAGACTTTTTTCTTTCTTTCTTTCTTTCTTTTTTTTCTTTAGTAAAGTTGAATAATCAATATTAAAAAACTAACAAAGTATTCTTTTCCACATTTTTTATGGATTTTTAATGATATGTGTAAACATTTTACAAAAACCAAAAAGAAAATTAATAAAGTTTCTATTGTAGTTATTTTTTAAAGTCATTTGCAACTATATTTTCACACATTAATAACAATAATATTATTAATTTGAAAAAATTACATCATCTATATTGAAATGAATCAACAAAACATTAATATGTGTAAAAATTGTTAACACTATATCTCCAATTGATATTGCTACACCCCACATGACCTCCACACAAAATGAGTTTTTAAAATTTTTGGCAAATAAATGAATTTTAAATTTTAAAAACTAATTTTAAATTAAAACAGTTTTGAGGCAAATATTTTGTTTAAAAAAAATAGCTTGTGACATGTTTTTTTAAAAAAATATGCATTACCTTCCTTTCAACCACCACCGTTTTTAAAGCAAAGAAAGGAAAAGATGTGGGAAAGAAAGAGACATATTCTTAGCTAGTAATCTATGAAGAGGTCACATGGAGTGTAGCTATAATTGGGGATGTGGCATTAACAATTATTTAAGTATATTAATATGTTATGGTTACTTCAAAATTCTTTAAGTATATTAATATGTTATGGTTACTTCAAAATTCTTTAAATATGTTAATATGTTATGTATGTATGTATACATATTTTTTGTTTTGTACAATTATTCAAATTTTTAATTTTATTTGATAATAATATTCGAAAATAAAATAAAACAAGTTGATCTCTTTAAAAATAATATTTTATTAAGTAAAATTTTAATCATCTTAAAAACTATTATTTTGTAATGATTGAATCATAAACAACCAATCATCTATATAACCTACATCTATCACTCTAGTATCACTCTGTTTTAGAACTATGTATTTAAATATAAATATGTTATTTCTTGTAATCATCTTATATTATGCAATGATTTTGAATCTTGTTTGTGTCACAATAAAACTTACTGTGGTACTAAAAGATAATTTTTTGTTTGTGTTTTCATTAAAATTATTATAGCTTGAATATGAAACTAAAAACCATAAATCTATCTTTAAAATAGTAAGCTGATTTTATGAATATTGAAATAGTAATGTTATAATTGTCAATTTATTTAGTACATGCATACTCATCACTCTAGACTCACAAGGATCGTTTTAAGAAAAGTAACAACTATCACTTCCATGTAATAACAACATTAACATAAATCATTTGGTTTTAAATATTTGTATTTAGTAATGTATTTGTACACAATTTGAAAAATAAAAGCCACATGAGTTCACCCTGTACACATATTTGATTTAGGAATTACATCTCTAAGAACTTTAACATGTGTTTTAGAAAAAATAGTTTTTACAAACTATATAAATAAATATGTATAAATATAATTTTTTATTTATGAATTGCAAAAAAAGAGATTTTGATTGTGATATTCTAGGAGTTTTTAAATTCTAATAATAAACTTTAACAAGTAACTGTTTTTTTTGGGATGTATAGGTGTCAGTTATAAAATAATATACATTAAATAGTAATGAGTCATTGAAAAAACGTAATAAAACACTATAAAGGAAAATATCTTCAAGAGAAGTAATTTGCCATATCATAAGATTTTCCTTCTTTTGTTGTTTTGAAACTATTTTTTAAGATTGTTTTTTAAAGCATTTTGTAAAAAATTCTCATAAAACATACATACCATTTTCATCTGCCAATCAATACAAAACCAGAAAAAAGCAATACAAAACCTCCCGTTTACTAATAAATCACATCTTCTCCGACCTAATGCATTTCACTTTTACACAGCTTCGAGGGAATACCTCAAGAATTGCTTGAAACACCGGCACAACAGCAATGAAACCACCGACAGAAATCACCGACACGGTACGGACGGGGTTCGGACACCACCACCGACAGGGAGTGGGTCACGCCGCGGCGACGTCCAGAGAGTCGAGGAGAGCCCAGTGCTGCCAAACAGGGACCAGAGAGTTGGCGGTGATCATCCCCGACGCGGCGACGGCGGGGACTCCGATGCCCGGCATGGTGCTGTCTCCACAGCACAACAGGCCCGGGATTTCACTGGCGGCGCCGGGGAATGTATCCCTGCCGGCTCTGATCGCGGGGCCGTATGTGCCCTCAGATCGACGCAAGTAGCGCTCGTGGGTCAGCGGAGTCCCCACCAGCTTCAGCTTCACTCGGTCTCGTATGTCTGGAATCACCTTCTCCAGTGTCTGCCACAACACCTGCCACATTGCGCACACGAGAATTAGAATCACTTCAGATACTGATCTCTAATGCGATGTCTCCATTTTGGCTCTGCTTTCCGTGTAAACGTAAGAGTTTTTACCTCTGATCGTTCTTCCTTCAACGCTGCATACTCCGGGCTCTTCCTGTCCATTCCTTTCCAGATGCTGTAAGGCTCATTCCCTGCTGTGTAGGCGTGCACAACGTGACAGCCTTCGGGGGCCAAGGATGGGTCGAACACCGTGGGGATGGACACCAGGCAAACGTTCTGCGGCGCGCCAACCCCACGCTTCCAGTCGTGGAGAACAAAGTGATGGCACTCCAAATCCGATGGAAGTCCCATGGCGTCGATCCCCAAGTGAAGGTGCATAAAACTGTCTGTCTTTTCGGTGACGTTGGCACGGTTGATGTAGCTCTGCGCGGGCAAGGCGCCATTGGGAAGTAGCTTCGCCGTATCCCAAGTTGATGCGTTGGATATGACTGCTTTAGGTGCTCGGATTGTGTATGGTGTCTTGTTTGTGCCTCTCGTTGGCCGCACGCGAATGCCTGAAACATGTGCACCCATCATCTTACAGGTTGACTACTCTGCATAGGCTCATGTAATAGAAATCTAACCACATGGGAAAGAGTGACACACAGAATGTGAATGGCAGTAGAACAGTGAAAGTCGACAATCAACACTACGGCCGTAGGAGGTTGTACTGACCTACAGCACGCCCCCCTTCTAAAAGAATCTCATCGACGTGAGTATTGAGCAGCAAGCGACCACCGTACTTTTCCAAGCCTCTAACAAGGGCTTCGATGATGCTTCCCCCTCCTCCTAGAGGATAATCAATAGACCCACCCTCACGGTGTCGCTCTTTGAACATGGTCACCATTTCAGCGGTGATCGTGCTGAATACACATAAAACCAACTGTTAGTGCTCCACCACGAATTCTTACCCTCTTAAAAGCCACATATAACTCACCAGACGATTTTCTAAATCGAACGATCTCGGGTTTACAAACATCACACACACAGGTTTCAGACAAAACTAGTCCCTATCATTAACAATGTTGACTGGCTCAGACCGGACCTGTCAGCTAGGAGGCCACTCAGCACAAAGCATTCCAAGTCAATCAGCTGCTTGAGAAATGGATCTTTCACCACCTGCGGCATCCCACCTTCTAGCTCCAATTTAATAGCTTGTAAAACATCCATTCCAACCGGTATGCAACATGAATCTCTGAAGAGATGAAGCACCATAGTAAGCATTGGGGTTCCTCAACTCCGCGAAGTTAAAACAGGGATCACACACTGACCTGGTTGACAATACCCGAGAAGGGAGAAAGCATGTCCTTTGTAGCCGGCAAGAAAGGCAGGAGCTGAGGAAGAAACCTTCCTGCGGTGAAAACCACGGCCGGATCAGGTCTTAGAGCGGCAGCAGGAAGGGCCATGGCTGCACGAGCTAGGGGCTCCATCTTGTCTTCAAGTTCTCGCCATTCGGATGCTGCCCTAGCTCCCCCGACTCTTCGAATCTCTGCTTCATACGCATCTTTATTTGCTGTAAACTTGAATGTGCCCTCAGGCAAGTACCCTATCCAATTTTTGTATTGCACGCATTCCACCTTCTCTCCTATGGCATCGAGCACCTGCAAAGCACCATTCCCTTGACCTAAATTTCAATCAAAGTACTCCAGAAACTTCCAGAGCCAGAAAATAACCTAATTCTCTGTACAAAAGAGGCATCACATTCAACTGCGCATTCGAAAATTGGTTACCGAGTCAAATGCCGAACAATGTCATGTCTGATAGAATGCACCTATCTACTGCGCTTCATTGAAAACATTGAGATCAGGCGGAATACAACACGCACCTGTTTGAGGGGGTTGATTGAAGGCTTGATAGAAAGTCCAGCGTGAAAAGAAGGCCCTGAATCAAACTGAAACCCTTGTCGCTCAAAGGCATGTCCTGCTCCTCCGGCTATGTCATGACTTTCACAGACCACCACCTTGTATCCGTATTTCGCAAGCAGAGCTGCGCAACAGAGACCTCCAATCCCAGCTCCGATTACGACGACATCCGTCTTGGGAATTTCGGGTGTATCACTCAACTTCCTCGAGGCGCCTGATGTGGATATTGCATTGCCGCTTACAGCCGCCCTAATGAGTCTTGGACAGCAATGTCTATTTCTCCTTTCTCTTCTCGAGGTGCTCAATTGTGGAAATTTGAAATCCCTGAGATCACCTTGGAGGCCCTTACCATGAGCTTCAATTTCGCAATTAAATTGTAAATGAAGAGAGGGGTAGAGGCTCACAGATTGGCGGGCTGTGGCCACCGCCTGCACTGCCATTGCTTTAACTCAATTCTTTCCCAAATGGGTTCACGCGCAGTACTGACACTCTATGTACAGGGCACTACAGATTTGCGCCAATCAACATCTACTTTTGCCAATAATCGAGCTAAAATTCTGCTATCTTGACAGAAAGTCAACTCACTACAAACTGTGTACTCGAGACATTCACACCCACTTCTTACAAGTAGGCATCGCTTAAGATACACGGCCTGGCAATCCAGTTGGGCTTTCCACAGCCAGAATGAGGATTCAGAAGGAGCCCTCGCATTTGCGTCCTTACCAACGGACACTGACAACAGACGGCTCTGAATTCTAACAACTGCAGCTTCCTGCAACATTTCAACGCTGCGAAAAAGCGATTCCAAAGCGTCTCAACCGCGAGCTTCTGTTTCGGAGACTGACATCCGCTGGATAACGTAAGGCTGGAAACGAGCAGCCCTCCAAGGGTGTTAGATACCCATGTGGCAGCGCAAAGCGTGCGTCTTTCCCAGTGACACGAGTAGACAAGCCATATTCACGGCAGCCTTACCACCCACGTCGAGAATGCCACCGAAAAGATTTTTCTGATCACATCCTTAACATGGATTGCAGGCCGCATGCAGATTCATATTCTTGATGATTTACGAAGCATTTCCACTCTTGTTTGTGGACAGTTCACGTCGTTGCTTTTCTCACTGCATTAAGCTGATGCTGCCATGGTCCAAAGTTAAACAAATTATTCAGACTTTTGTTGGACATCGTTAGAAATGTCCACGGGTGGTTTCTAGTTGAAGATAATTTCAACGGCACTTTATTGCCAAAACGACTTTTTGAAGTAACATGTGTCAATATATATATATATATATACACTCACTCTATATCAATCGTGAAGTGCTCACTTGATGAATTTGAGGGTGGTTCATTCCATCATGGCAGATAAATATCTACGGGCAGAAGCAACGAGTTTTGTTGACAAGTCGTTTGGTGCCTGAGGAGCTGTTAAAACCTTCAAAGACATTGTGTGATAACGTAAAAATAATAATAATAATAATAATAATAATAACACATATATAAATATATATATATATAAGTTGGTTATGTGAAAGTTTAGATAGCAAGTCCTGCTATGAGGTGTTGACAGGGTTTCGACCAAATTGTCGTGAAATGCTTTTGGAATGATGTTCCTAAAATCTAAAATGCCTCTCTACTTCAGGCCTTCAGCATCGTGCAATAAAGACCCTCTAGGGGATGCTAGGAACTGGGGAGGTTAAGTACCACCATCTGATACAAACTACACAAACTAACTCACCATTAACACTGTGAACTCGATTAGTTTGTTGCAGGATGATGCAAACATATCGACCTTGGTAGCCACCAGACACATCCTTATCCCAGCGACACTCTGCCAATGTTTGAATGCGCTGCTCAGGGCAGCCGACGAGAAACAAATAATGGAGGCGTCAGAACAGTCCTAGAATTCACTTCATCTAGAAAGCTACAACATACAAAGACTAGAGATATCATCAGCTAACCTGAAAGCATGTCTCATAAAACTCATACAAAGAAATTCATAACGTAACTCAAATATCCTCAAGAACACTCGTATAACCATAGCGCTGAAACCCCCATCCTCCCAAGCCAACCCAACGTGAATAAACCATTAAAACACTTCCGATAGTACCAAAAATAGATCCTTAACCCATTGAATGCACCTAAAAATGCAGTTGCTGCCCTAGCACATGCAAGAACAGAAGGCCTTGCCGGCTTCTACCAGTGTAAACCGCAAAACTGGTCATTTTTGTTGTCAATAATGTTAGACTCAGCTTCCAGATCTAAATCACGGAGCAGAACCAACATGCATCTTCTCTTGAGCTGCACCAGAACGCACTCACCTTTTGGCACGGCGTCAGAGAGTTTTAGCAGGTCTACTACTCAGGAAAATTTTATCGATCATTTCTTGGCTGAAAACCTCTGCGTCGATGAAGGCACCTAGTCCATACTGCAATTCTATTAAACGATGCTGGCCGTTGCACCGTGAATACTAATGCCTCCTCATCGTATACTGGCAACTCGACCTCTCCATAATGCTACAATATGAACAACTTAGAAGGAACAGGTTGGAGGGATATTCTAACTACTATATCTCTATTTGCAAAGCCTCTAGCTTTCCATTTATCCTCCCTTCAACCTCCCCAACTGCTGCGCCGACTTCGCCCTCCTCCTGAAGGGCAATCGTTCGCCCGATGTCCCCGTTGCCCACACACGTGACATGTCCCTGAAAAGGTCCTGTCACCCCCTCTGTCCGACTGCTTTGACGAAAACCTCCCGAACCTCTCTCTTTCTGATGATGATGATCGAGGTGACGATGACGAGAATCTTCCGAATCGATCATTGCCCCTATCCATACCACCTCGACTATCCGATCCTCCACCAAATCTTCCAAACATACCTGAGCTTTGTCCTCCTCTCCTTTCTTCTGATATTATAGGAGGAAGCTTTGTTGGTACGTCGAACACGTCCCCGTCCTGGTTTGGTAGCGCCAGAACTTCCTTGGCCACATCATCCGGCAAATCGAACACCGCTCCATTCACCCTCCTGTCGTCGATAATGCAGATCTTCCCCACACTGTCCGCTGCAGATCGAGATAAGCCAGACAAAACCCCGCTCACACCGCGCGCATTAAGAGCTGGTCTGCCCCCGCTGCGCATCAGCCTCAACGTCGTCATTCCTGGCTCGTGCGTCAACAAAGATCGGCTGGGAGGCAGCTGACTGAACCCACTCAAGTGAGCCAATGCAGCAGCGAACGCATCTGGACCCTTCTCCTCCAGCAGAGACTCTGCAGTTGGACGGAACTCGGCCGCCAAACTCTCATCCACATTTTTCAGCGCACCCCTCACCTGGTCGAAGCTTGCTTGCATCACATCCTTCACATGAGGTGCACCAATCATCTGAAACCTGCACTTCACGTTGCTCTCGATAGTCCGCATCGTCCGCATCTGTTGATTGGTAAACATCAATATATTCGTCCCGGTCTTCCCCGCGCGACCTGTCCGTCCCGTCCTATGCACAAATGTCTCCGAGTCGTTCGGAATCTCGTAGTGGATTACAAGGTCTACGTTTGGCACGTCCAGTCCTCGTGCAGCGACGTCCGTCGCGACCAAAACTGTGATATTACCCTCCCGAAACGCGTTCAATGTCTTCTCCCTCTGAAGTTGCGAGATATCCCCGTGCAATGCCCCACAAGCCACCAGGTTCCCCATCGCCATCGCCACGTCGTCTGCGTCTCTCTTTGTCTGCGTAAACACGATCGTCTTCCCGCCTTTGGCATGCACAGTAATCAAGTCGCTCAAAATCGATCGCTTCGCCGTTGCAGGAAGCTGAATGGCCAAATTCGTGATGCCCTCCGCCAGCTTGTCATCTGCGTCTCCCACCAGGTTAATCATCAGTGGCCTGTTGAGGTACTTTCCACTAAGCTCTTTCACCCATTTCGGCATCGTCGCAGAGAAAAGCATGCTCTGTCGGTTCTTTGGCAACTGCTGTAAAATACGCTCCACATCTTCTTCGAATCCAACCGCCAACATCTGATCTGCCTCGTCCAACACCAAGAAGTTTACATTCTGCAACTTCAAAGAGCCCCTGTCAATTAAATCGATGATACGCCCGGGCGTCCCCACGGCAATGTCTACGCCCCTCTCCAGTTGCCTCTGCTGCATGCTGATAGACACGCCACCATAGACGCACACCGTCGACAGCATAGGAGCTGACTCCATAAACTCCCGCTCCACTTGCTTCGCCAACTCACGAGTCGGCGCTAGCACTAAAGCCCGCGGAGACCTCCCATGCCTGGGCGCGCTCTCTTTATGCGCGTCAATAATGTGCTGTATGATGGGAATTCCAAAAGCAAGTGTCTTCCCAGTCCCCGTCTTCGCCCTCGCAATCAAGTCCTGTCCTTTCATGGCCGGCTCGAGGACGGCCCTCTGAATTGGAAACAAGTGCGTGATCCCACGCTTCGCAAGCGCATTTACTATATCCTCAGAGACGCCCAAACTGTCGATCGCAAGCTCGTCCTTCCCAGCACCCGCGTTTTTTTTCCCCACGAAGCCCTCCTCATCACTCGAGCTCAAAGTCTCCTCATCAAACAAATCCGGCTGGCTAGAAATCTCCCTCCGCGACTGCAACAAGGTCATCTCCGACGCCAGCCCGTTCCCTCCCTTCACTCCCCACATGGATCCATTCCCAAGGAACAAACCCCTCTCCTGCAAACCCGTCCACCCCGACGACGCTCCCCCATTGCTTCCCACCACGGACGTCAAACTCCGCCCGACTTTCAGCGCTTCCCGCTGCGCTCCCGCGCTAGATCTCACGCGCACCAGCGCCCTCGCCCCAGCCTCAGCGCACTTCCTAAACATCGCCATAGTTCTAAACCCCTCTAAATCCTAATTGACATAATCAAAACAAAACAAAACAAAACAACCAGTACAAAAACTGCTTAAAACCCCCCGGAAAGCTCAAAATTCCCACTCGCTTCACAGGAAAAGGAAAGTCCCAAACAGTTGCCGCCGGATTAAAGCGGTGACATGATGGCGAAGGAGGCGATCTGCAGGGCAATTGATCTCTTCGAAGCCGTAAAGGAGATGGAGACCAAACCCTAAACAGTGCCGAAAGAGGAGGAAAGAGGAGGCCACTGGAAAAAGGAGGCAGAGAGAGAGAGAATGTGACCTTCTTTAGGACATGGTCACACGATAGGGAACGTGAGGGAATGTGAGGGAAGGGGACGGATCCACGGCAATAGGTCCAGTGTTTAGGGCACGCCCTTGGTCCTCTCTGCGTGTAATATTCTCCCTTTTGAATCCCACGAAAAAACAAAATAATTACTGCAATTTCACGGCTTTTAAAAGGGAGTGGTTAATTTTCCTATTTTAGAAACCATTTAGGGTTCAATATAAATAGGGGAATATTAAATAGACTCAAGCTTTTACTAAATTGACCCACCCATCATGAAAAAACGATTGAATCTGAAATTGATGAAAACCAACCACATTCATCATAATTACTATATTCTTTGTCATGGGTAGGTCAATTTTGTAAAAACCTAGATTTCTTTAATATTCCCCTATAAATATGATCTCAAACTATGGTTGGGGTAGATCTTCTCCTTAAATTGTACCATGGTAAATTTTTGATTTAATCCATGGATGAATTTTTGGTTCTTAAAGTTCTTGCCAATGTCTGCCTACAAAAATTAATTGTAACTTAGGACCAATGGAAATTAAGGGGAAGTTGGAGGGTTAGGGAGAAGTGATTAAGTACTAAGAAGAGGGATCAAAACATAAATACAACATATCTAATACATTGTGTAGGTGGCTGAATTCAAACTCAATGCTTGCTCAACACTACGAGGTATTACAAGTAGAGCACCAATCTTTCCAAAAGCTTGTTATAGTCATCAATTAATGCTATGGATGGATAAAAGTATGTAATAAAATCACACCATGGTCCATTCTCTTAGATTTGAGTACATGATTCGCTTTTTAGTCCATAAAATAGGGTTTAAAATGAGATGTTCTCTAAAAATTATTTGTTTGAGCCCATTTTTTTTAGGAACGTGTTGTATTGAAGCATAAGGGCATATATATAAATAAATAAATATATATATAAATATATAGCAAATGTTAAATACAAAACCAAATCACTACATTCTCAACGCTTACAAAAAGATAGTTAGAAAAGTTGACTATTTGAACAAACTAAAATTGAATAATAGAGTTTACAATTAAACTGTTTTTTGCATTCCAAGTTTAAAGAAAAATTCTTTTAAGAACCATCAGAGAATCTGATGTAAATTAAATAAGCAAGGCATTTCCGAAGAAATTGTTTGAATAAATTGTTGTTACTTCAATATGCCTACTTTCTAAAAATAGTTCCTATATTCTCTTGTCAATGCAATACTTCAGGGGCACATTTGTTGACAAAGATTCCGTTACGTTTATCCACAAGAATTTACACGGCTTGTGAAGCTTAGAAGGTGCATTCGGTTTTTGCATCAATATGCCTACTAAAAACATTCTACATGAATTGGGAAAGACTTGAGAAATGCTATTATCTTCGCACTGAGGAGGTTCGATGACAAGCTATGTCAAGAAATGTGTGGGCATTCCTCTCTGCTCTTCACGATAAACTCCAGCAAAAGCACTGAATACCAACTGCTTATCTCAAGCATCCAACACACTCCAATTAGCAAAAGCAAAAATTAAACAATATCAATCAGAAAGATACCTCAAAACCCTCAATTCAGCATATGCTCACATGAACAAAATCAAATCACAATCAAGACGGATCGCAAGGGAAAGTGTTGCATGGAGCAAGTTCAACTTCTACAGGTTACCACTAGCATAAAACAGAAAGCTACTCGCATTCGAAGTCCAAATGTGAAATATTAAAATTGCAATCTACCTCGAAGTGGAATTGAAACCCCAAATGAGAACACCTATGCGTTCTGTTGATATCCAATGTGAATGCGACTTGTGATGCTGGGTAGCAGATAATCAAGACTCATCTGGGACCTTTGCTGAAGAAAGAATTTGTGGATACCAAATGTCAAATTTCCACGATCAAAACCCCATCCCTATGCGACATCTGTGTACAGGAGTCGTCAAGTATCTGACTTTCACAACACTTTCAACCCAGCTTGATAAAAAAAAAAAAAAAAAAAAAAAAGAAAAAGAAAAAAAGGGCCAGAGTAGCTATGCTGAGCTTACTCCGTTAGTACGATACAGATTATTGCTGTTGTTCGTATATCTGCATGTAAGTTTCCGAAAGTGCCACCATCTGGGGCAAAGTCTCATTCACGTGAAGATCCTGCATTTCATACCTGCGAAGCATATCTTGTAATTAGAAGATGCAAAATAAAAAATGTGCACGATCCCTGTTGCTGACCTATACCAGACGATGCAGTGCATGCATTAATTACAAACCAATACCAAATTATAGCGTACGTGCAGTGCACATTACGGTTACTATAGAGACAGAAGAATGTCCTCAAAAGATTTAGTTCCGAACGTCTATGCCAGATAAATTGCCTCTAAAGAGTAAGCTACAAAATCGTTTTGAAGAGCGAAGTCGCTTACCACATTTCATCTGACTTGCGCTGAACAAAAACCCTGTAGGAACCTTCACCTGGTTTCCCATCATGGACAAGATTGGCAATCAAGTCATACTTCGTACGTTGTTTTTCACCATCCTTAGATTTCGGCAACGGTATGTAATCTTTTAGCTCCAAATTTTTGACAGGAAAGTTCACTGTGACAGACAGGTAACACATAAGAAACCAAAAGAGCGCAACATCAGACAAACATGTGATAAAAGATCCGGACACGCTACGGTAGATTTCAGGTACTATCAAGGAATAATACAACCAGAGAAATGATGTGTGATTCAAAGAGTTACCCTAAAGCTCTTGCTTCGCTTCTAAGAAATAACTGAAGAACTTGTCCACTTAACTAGGTGACTTGAACAGAAGGCCTTCAAGGGGGGAAAAAAGAAAAAAAGAAGAGAAAAGATGAACTCACCTAAAGTTGGATTCTTTTCCATGAAGAAATTGTTCTTGGTAAAGCGCCGCATGTGGAGAATAATATACTGTGGCAACCGGGTAATACGATACCGCATCCGGGCAAGCTGGGGTCTGACTACTTCTGTTACCGTTTCTCCATCAAACTTCTTCAATATATTGAAAAGAGGAATCTGCACACATTGACAGGGTAGTAGTGTATAAAATAATAATTGATGTTCTAAGCATGTCATCTGTAAGGACAAGACTTTCCAAGAAAAAACATACTAATAAAAAAACATATCATAATAATAAAAGTTTGAGGTGGTAGAGAGAGCAATCATAGTATCTTGTTGACCATTCTTAGTATACGGCAACTCATAGGCTTATCAATGGATCAATCTGAAATGTTGATTGAAACTAATCAACAAATTAAAAAATTCACAATTACTTGACATGTAAAGCTCGGTGCAAAGACTAACCTGGGGTATAATGTTCTTTTCCATGACATCTTTAAAGAGTGGAGGAGGGGGCAAGTCAAGGCCCAGCATAAGAAATGGCATTTTGCTAACATCCCTGTGCAGATCTGTAGTATCCAACTTTCCTCCATCATCTGCACCAGATGGCACATCACCCTCGCGTTCTTCAGCAAACCCCTTCTTCTGAGTCTCCTTGGTAACCTCCAGTTCCCCCTGAGAATTTATCACCAAACATTAGACTTTTTACAAATCCAATTAAGGAAGCTACAAGCTTCGTCAACATCAAAAAGAGCCCCTAACGACAGATTGTTATTCCAGAGAAAAAGAATCTAACATCAACAGTTTATGCTTTAAATAATACTGGACAGGTTACAAACCTGAAAACACTTGTAAATAACACTGCTATTGCGCTTCTTAGTGCCACCAAGGTCTGTATGAAGAGTGTTGAGAAGCCATGACATGAACTCCACAGGATCAGATTGCACACCGATTCGAAACCTCTTCTTACTTGCAACCATCACCGCCTGCAAAAACTCATGAGGACTGACCTGCCAATAACAAGGTATATTTATCAGTGAATGTCCATAGGGACATGATAGTAAGACTGTAAACAAACATCGAAAGAGGCCGACATCAGCAAGGCTATAAGATTTTGATCGCTGGCTACAATAGACTCCTCATTCTAATTTTCTCCTCGAAGTAAGTTGCATTTATAGACCAAAAAATCTTAAATGAATCCTCCAGACATTGAAATCAACTTACCTGCCCCTTAAAATTCTTTGTATGCCATATTTTTTTTGTCAATTCACCAAAGCGCTGGACCAGCGGCGATTTGCAATGCTTGTAGTTCTCAGGAAGCAAAAAATAGTTCCTCAGTGGGGTAACTCGCATAAGAGACTGTATGGTAACATTAACAAAGTCGTTTTCCTTGATGTTGTTTATGCCCACCTAGAAAGGTAAGACGGTTAATTAGAGTAGCTGATAGTAAAGATAAAATGCTTTAAAAAAGGAGGATATAAAAACCTTTCAAAATCCTGCTACCATGTGAACGAAATAAGCAAAAAAATGAAAATGTGTCCTAACCATTCCTGGAAGATAATCTGAGCCGTCTAACGCCCTTGACCATTGTTTGATTTTGTCCAATTGCTCAGCCTGTGCTCTTGTGAATCTGCAATGGGGAACAGAACCGATTAACGGGGGAGTACTTTGCAAGTACGAATTAGAAGGAACAATCGAACAACTTGATTTGATCAAAACTTCAAAACAGTAACTTTGCCGTTCTAGAATGTAGGGCCACTCCTCGATGCAAACTGCACAGCTCAGCAGCGCCGCGACAGAGAACTCAGTTTTTCTGCGCCTATCACACACAAGGTGTGCCGCGTAATTTCCTTTCTCGCGGAATACCACGTTGCTCCACAGCTCAAGGAGTCAACGCTCGGCCTAAGGCACATCTACGCCGCTAATTCCTATAGTATTGGACCAGCTCTCTCGATACCAACTGCAAATCTCAGCAGTGCAACGACAGACAACCCAGTTTTTCTGCGCCTATCACACACAAGGTGTGCCGCGTAATTTCCTTTCTCGCGGAATACCACGTTGCTCCACTACTTAAGGAGTCAACGCTCGGCCTAAGGCGGTTCACATCCACATACAGCAGCCTTCGACACTCCAATACTCATATAATGTAATGGATGCCAGAATTCAAATTCAAATTCACAGAATTAAAAGCATAAAATGCAAGGCATCGCCAGTTTGAACGAGCTATTCTTGCCCCTAGGCGCACATTGGCTGCCCATTCAGCGATCATATCAAAACAACAGAAAGCCCATGAATAGTATATAGAATAACGTTGATCCTCGTAGTTCCAGCTTCAAGGACTTCGCGATCAACCAGTTAGAATAAAAAAAAAAAAGCAATTAATGCATACCGAGGATTTAAGACATGTCGAATATCGTCTAGAGAAGGGTCGTTCACTTCGTAGCCATCTGGGAGACAATAAACCTTCTCCGTGTGCAGATTGATGAAGACATGATGACCAGCTTCAAGGCTGTGCGTGTATGCATGAGACTTGCGGCCTCGTCCTTGAAAATATTTCCCGCACACAAGGCATGCGTACACATTCAAATTGGAAAGTGAGACCGAGCAAAATTTCTCAAAGTCGAAATCCAGCACCTGAGGACAACAATATCCAGTAAGTTGAAAGACTACTCCACAGTAAAGTTGACCATCTTGGATACAACCAAGAGCAGGAAACCAATTCAAAAAACATATCAATTGCAACAAACGACGAAACAATGCCAATGATTTGAACCCTCCGAAACTGTAAAAATAAAAAATAAAAAATAAAATAAAAATAAAAACCGCACGCCAAGGAAAAAACCCTAAACCACCACCACGAACAAACCTGTCTGTTGACAGTATCCAAGTATGGACAATCTTTCCGCAATTCAATGTCACGCCGTAGGCCCGCACGGCTGCGCTCCGCCTCCTCGTCACTTTCGTACTCGTACACCTTTTCTTTCACCGTCACCTCCTCTTCTTCTTCCTCTTCCTCCCCGTAGTGACCAAGCGTCGACAGCACGCCGTTTTCGGGAGAGTCAGGGATCTTAAACTTCTTCCGAATGCCATTCAACTCATCGCTGTGAGGATCAATCTCAACTGGACGAGCTGGTGCAGTAGCTCCATCTTCCTCCTGATCAACGTCAGTCTCTCTTTCACGCTTCATTGAAAAAAAAACCGTCAAAACACCAAAAACCGGCAGAAGCAGATGGGGAGCCTCTGATAGAGAGGGACAGGCTTGAAAGGAGAGGTAGACTTTGACAAGACGAATGTAACAATAAGAGCACCAAACCCTAAAAATCCTCAAATGATCCCATTCACACCAGATGTGCTGTCTTCAACTTCGGTCTACCCTATTCACACCTGTGATGCCACCTTCAGCTTCGCACTACCCCATTCACACTGGTATTGTTTTATAAGTATTGTTTGATTTAATATTCAATGGTTGGTTTAATCTACCTCAAATGTTGGAGAATACTTTAGCCTTCTTATGTAAAAGCGTGTATATGGTGTATTTGAGGGTTGGGAACTATATGCAATTCAAGATATCTTATTTATACAATGACATTGTGCATAGATTTAAAATAGAAATAACAAATAATATTATTTAATGTATAAATTCATAAAATGCCCATTGAGATAAATTCTCTGAGAAAAATTTTACAATTTTTTTATTAATTTTAATTATATTTTTATTTTTATATTTTTCAATGTGTATGTGAGTAATTTATATACCTCGTGTTATTACAATTTAATCATAATTATATGCATCATTAAACATTGGGGTTTTATAGTTTTGGGTCATCTATACAATTGTAGAATGTGAAATAATAAGTTTTGATAAGTTGTATATTTATTATGTTAGTGTATATTTTTTTAAATAAACACTCTTATGTTCATTTTGTTAATTAATTATATATACATTGTGTTTATAGAAAATAAAAACGCCCAAAAAGTGTTATTGCATACATGCAACTTTTGTTAAGAATTTGTAACATTATTTTTAACAAAAGAAAAGAAAAGAATCAATTGAACACTATTTTTTCTATTAAGTTTTAACAGTAAATTCAAAAAGCAACAGCTAATTTTATATCTCCCTAAGATATAAATAAATGTGTATATATATATATATATATATGTGTGTGTGTGTGTGTGTGTTTATTTGAAACTGAATTACTTAAAAAAGCCACATGCAATTCATGATACAGAGTGTATTAACAAAGTATATTCATTTACAAATAACAACAAATAATAATAACATTACCAAGGTATGATTTATAATGCACTTACTATTAAAGACATGTTCACATGATCATAACTTTCTGTTGAAGCAGTTCAATCTTAGATATTATGATCATGTAAACATTTCTAATCCTATCAAAAACACTTCTAAGGCTATCAAAAACATATTAGCTTAGAGATATGTAACTTATAACCTCTGTAAAGGTTTGAAAGTAGTGATTTTATGGTAAATTCAGCAAGATTAACACTTTGAATATACATGGATGCCTTTACTTTAAAATATTATATTGTAAGTAAAATGGATATATATATATATATATATATATAGTATTCACTGAAGGTATAAAAAAAACTTGTGAGTCATAAAATAAATAAGAGCTTGAATGTAATTGATATTCAATTATTTTTGAAAACATGAAAATGACAACTTATTATTATCACTTTTATTGCCAAAACTCTAACGTTCAAACTTCTTATAATTTATAGCAAACAAGACAAGTTATTATTTAACATTTTGGTGTACTTGTAAAAAAGAAAAAGAAAGCATAAACATTAATTTAAAATATCATTAAAAGGACATCATTTTAATGCTTAAATACATAGTGAAATCACAAAATCCAATTTTTAATTTCAAGGGAAAACTCCATATTTTCAACACATTTTGTAAAATTTTCATTTCTTTGACACAAAGACAATAAAAACGGCAATTTTTTATTTCGTATTATTTTATTTATTTTTGTCTCACATGTAGAAGCAGAGATACATGTGGAATTGCAACAAGTTTTTTTGATATATCGTTATGGATTCAACTATTACATAGTTTCACTATTAGTATCAAATTAAATGAAAAATAAAAACAAACACTAAAGTTATAAAACCAACAATCCTGAAACCTTGAATTTCACCAAACAATTGACAAATACTTCAACATGCACCACCACAAAGTCTCAAAATTGCCACGATTGCAAAGCAAAACAGCATCACCATTGATTCCCAAAATCTATTATTAAGGCAAAGTTAATAAATAACCAAGATTTCACTAAATTAGCAAATTACCAAGATTCTACGATATGGTGGAATTGGACCAATGACAATCCATCCCTGACGAGATATGGACCCTATATCCGCCCCCACCCCCATCCACCAACCGGTGCAAACCGCGGACGGGTTCAGCGCACCCACCCGACCCGACGAAACGCCGGGCGGGGACACAGAGGAACAGAAACCATCCATCATTAATTCATCCAACAAATACATGGATGAAGGAAGAGGGGCTAGAAACAGTGGTAGAGCGGAGGCGGCAGAGTGTGCGTGGGAATCGAGACTCTCTCGCATTCTCTTTCGTAGTGTAAGAGATTGTTTGCTTGGTTTGGTTTGGTTTGCAGAATTTGTGGAGTAGCGATGGAGCTTCGGCCCTGGATCACAGTGCTCTTCGCCCTCGCGGTTGTTGTCGCGCACAGCCATGCGCTTCTCATGACCGTTCACAATACAGAATGCGTCTGGGAGGATGTAGAGTTCGACGGCGATGTCGTCAGCGGTAACTTCGTTGTGTTGGACCAGGAGGTTTTTTGGGGCTCTGAGCACCCCGGTATCGAGCTCATTGTATGCACACTCACATCTCTGGCTTTATTTAGTTTGCTTTCTTTTCTTCTCTTTCAGTTCGTGCTTATGTATCCTCTGTGGTTTGTTTTGTTTTGTTTGTTTTTGTTTTTTTATTTTATTTTTTCTGATTGTGAATCGGTGTTTTTCCTTTTTTTCCTTTTTGTTTTTGGTTGTGTTGGGAGTTTAGTGATTTACGCTGTTGTTTGGGACTTGGAATGAATTTGGCTTGTCTCCTCGCCGAGAGGTTATTTCATTTAGCAAAGATCGTAGGTGAATGGCTTTGAGGTTTGTGAGTTTAGGGGTGATTCTTTGCTGCAAGCTCTGTTGAGAGCTTATGGGTTTGAGATTTTTGGCCTGTTCAAAGGTTTTTTTCTTGATTTTTTAGAGTCTCATTTGCCAATTTTTATTTATTTTTATTTTATTTTATTTATTTTTTCTGTTTGATTTCCTTACAAAAATCCGACTTCGTTTCTTGAATTTCCGGTTGGTTGGTGATCGCTCGATGTCGTACCCCATGCAGTCTTGCTCGGATGGTTTGTTGTCCTGATGGATTTTGGTTGAAATAAGCTATGCATTTGATACACAAAGGACGATATTACATGAGTTCGTAGGCATTTTTTGGTTTTCGAAGCTTGGAAATTCAATCATCTTCATTGTCGAGGATTCTGCAATCTTACCGTAGGGTCAACCTTTATCGCAATCTTTCAGAAACAAGTTAAGGATACTTCGAGTTGTTTTGATTCAGGTCACAGGACCCGATGGACGTGCCGTTCACACTACCAATACTATTGACGGGGAGAAATTTGAATTCATAGCTCACCGCAGAGGACGCTACAAGTTCTGCTTTCACAACCCGTTGTCTGCTCCAGAACAACTCACGTTTTACATTCATGTGGGTCACGTCATTGGCGTCGAAGAATTGGCGAGGGATGGTATGACTCATGTCTCCTCGAACTTAATGAATAAATGCTTCTTGAGGCTCTATTTGTTATACCACGATAGCTTAGGGTTAACGACTCAGTAGGTAACCTTATCTTCATGATGAAATAAACAAACGACAAATATCCCCTATATACGAATTTTTTTCACATGACTTTGGCGTGGGTTTATTGGTTGCAGAGCATTTGAAGCCTGTTGATGTGAAAATCTCTCAGCTCAGTGAAGCCCTTGAGCTTGTTAGTGCTGAGATTCGATATTTGCAAAACCGAGACTTGCGTCACAGAAAAAGTAAGCACCCGATTCCTTTCGAACCTGAAATCAACTTGTCCGAGAGAAATGTTGTTTGTTTGTTTGTTTGTTTGTTTGTTTTGTTTTGTTTTGTTTTGTTTTTTTTTTTTGTTTTTTTGTTTTGTTTTGTTTTGTTTTTTTTTTTTCTATGCTATTTGTGCAATCGAACGGGGATGAGTAGTGTAGTGTAGTGTAAATTCTTTTGGATGATGTCCAGCTTAGTCTGAGGATATGTTTGTGACATTGTAATTTTCTATGTTTTCTATCGTGCTCGTTTGTATTGAACCAGTGATGGAAAATTTGGATCGCAGCAAATGAGAGCACGCAGAGGCGGTTGCTATTCTACACAGTGAGTGAGTACCTACTTCTGATCGCAGCCAGCGTGGGCCAGGTGGTCATGATCCGCCATCTCTTCAGCAAACGTATTGGTTACAATCGAGTATGATATTTTGCTCACTCAGCTTGTAGTTTTAAAGGACACGCGCGTTTGAGAATACACATCCTCACACAGTCTGGCTAGGAATAGGAGGAAAGCTGGAAGAACCAATGTTGCACCCAATTATACTGTCTGTGAAGTGCGCAAGACAGAGAGTTTTTGGTACACTTAGCGTGGTCGAGTTTGTTTTGGAAAGTGGAAGGGTGACTCGGCATACGTGCAGTACACATAAGACTTCAAGCAAGTTCTGTAAATCCAAATCATCAGTGGCGGAGGATTTAAACGAATCATCCAATTTTTACACCTTCAGTGTGTTTTATACAATGAACCTGGAATCTGTTCGAAGTACTTATCTCTGCAAATGTCACAATCTTTCAGAGCAGTTCAAAGCATTGTTCCAGCCTAGATATTGTGATGCCCTGCCATAAACTTTAAAGGCCCATCGCTTTACTCAAACGAATTGTTCAAGTTGTGCCTTATTCTATTGCTTCTTGGAAGCAGGCAGTCTCAAAACTTGGGACATTTTTTTTAATTTGTAGAGTCAGCTTACACAGTTAAGAACCTTAGGGACTTTTGCAGCCCAATCGGTTGGGTTTAGGACCTTCACGAAAGTGCCGAGTATACCCCCAATAGTTCTGTTGGAGTACATATTTAGCATTTGTGATAAATGGTACAGTGAGGAAGCATGGGATGTGCCATGAATGTCTGCAGTTCGGCAAAGTTTAGAGTCCTTGAAAATTCAACATGCCATCAAATTCAATAGATATCCTCAAACGTCATCTCGTTGACAACGCCAATGAGTGGAAAGACTGTAACTAGGATCTAGGATGTTTGCGAAGTAATGCATTAACATGTAAACAAGATCAATCAGAGAAAACTAAGATGCAATAAGAACCTCAGAAATTTGTAGAGTGATGTATTTGTCATAATTTTCATAGTAGTTATTGAAATATTGCAAAAAATAAATTAAATCAGGTTTTAGAAAGACATAGTATATTCCACACTTCTCCATTGATGTGGCATTATATTAAATGTTAAGGAGGCATAACAAATTACATAGTTACACAAAGCTTTCTGTATTTTGATTGAGTAGACTATTTGAAATGACACATTTTATGTTCCACTATTAGACAGTTATTAGTGAATAGTATTTGTAATTTTTATGCTTTGTCAAATGACATTAAATTAGAAAAAATATCAATTTTTTTTTAGATTTAAAAATATTGTGTTCAAAGTTTTTAAAGAAAAAGTAATTAAATCCAATACATTTGTGGAGGAATTAAATAATAAAAGTTAGTCATGTTTATGCTTTCAAAAAAACTAATTAGCTAACATACTGTCTATATGTATATATATATATATATATATATGGATGTAAATTATATGTTCTTTAATTTATGTTCATTCTTATTTTTAATTTCTAAAAACATATGTTATATTTTACAAAAAAATAAAAAAATGAAAATACTATTAAAATAGATGAGTATAAGCAATGACGTTTTAAGCCAATGCAAGTTAAAATATTGGAATAATACATTTTTTATAAAATTGACAAATTTTACATAAAAATCATTACCAAAAATTATCAATATTTTAGTATAAATTAGTTTAAATCAGTTATTCTAAACTTCTAACATATTAGGTTGAAGTTTTTGTGTAATGATAATTGCATTCTAATTTATAAGGTATAAATATATTATCAAAGAAGATTAGCAATCATTTCATTTATTTTTTAATTATGATATTTTAAACTTCTCAATGAGTGTACGTATGTGTGTGTGTATGTATGTATGTATGTATGTATATTTTTTTCATGTGCGAGTTTGAATGATGTAACTAAAGAAATAAAAAGAAAAGAGGTAAAAACAAAATTCAAAATATGTAAAGTTATTTTGTAATCAAATATATATATATATACACTAGAAAAATCAACTTCAAATATTTTAAATTTTATTTAATTTAATTAGATTTAATGAAAAATATTTATAAGTAAATATCAAATCATAATTTTTTAAAACTATTAATGTTATCTTATTTTATTTTATTATTAAACTAGTCAAGAACCATTGATCAAACAATACCACTATCATTAAACATTTGTCAATTATCTAGAAATGAAATTATATTAAATCACACATATTAAAATTATTTGTTTCTTGATTATTAAAATATCTTTAAAATTTATAAATAACAAATTTTATCGATATTTTTGGTAAAAGATATAAATGAAAAAATACACAATACAAGAATTAGACTTTCAAAAAATTATATTTCAATATACAAAATATTTCTACTATTCATATATAATATAAGATAAACAAACTTTACTTAATTTTTTTGGTATCATAATCTTTTATTAAAAAATCATATTCTTGTGGTGAAAACATATCACATTAAAGAAAAAAATAAAGAAAAAAAATATAAAAACAAAATAGAACCAAAAGAATTAAACTTATTTGACTTGTTTATAGTGAATGCTCTAATATTCAGCTACAAGTAAAAAATACGACTTAAACTAAATAAATACTAGTTAGAACAGTTTAATATATATATTTGATAGCTATAGTTTAAATAATATATAGTTTAAATAATCTATAATGCTATTCATCTTTAAGTGTAAATGGTTTTTGTGTTGTGGAATAAACATTCTATTATTTAAAAAGTTTATAATCAATGTTTATTTGATTATTTTAACTTAAAAAATTACATATAAAATAAAATAAATTTTGGAACTTCATCCATTTTAAGTTTTCTTTATTAAAAAATATAACATTTTACAAATTTTTACTTCAAATATTTAATTTTGAAGGAAAATTTAATGTAATGCCAATAAATTTCTATAAATAAAAAAATATTTATAAAATATAATTAAATGAATTTAAATAGGTTTTATTGTTGATTTTTAAGTTTTTATATATATGAAAAATTTCTACATTTGAAATTAAATTACTACTATTTTATATTTATTTAATTATAATATAGTAAATAAGTGTATATAAATTAATAATTATAATATGTATAATTACATCATACAAATTTGATAATTTTTTTAATACAATATATTTTTTAATTAAATTATAATTTTATAAATTATTATTAGTCTCCAAAGATATTATATTTAATAACTAATTAACTTAATAGAGTTTTAAAAATTACCATTTAGTAATTTTAATTTTTTTATCATACTCTAAATTTATATTTGAAATGAGTGTAGAAATTACATAATAATTCAGAAACTATTAATTTATTTAATTATTTTCAGAATAATGATATTATGTATACTAAAAAAATCAAAATTTTAGTAAATTAATCATAAATTTATAAATTCTATTGATATTTTTTGATAATTTTAGCATTCATATAGTTAATAGTTTTATTTATTTTTTAGTTTATATACAGATATAAACATATATGTAAAGAGTTGTTAAAGCCACATCTCCTCTTGCCAACTTATGATTGATTTTATCCATTTCCATATCCATTGCTTTGTTCTCTTTTCTTATTCTATATCTCTTATCTTCAACTTCTCTTTGTGTCTATCTTTCATTTCTTGTCTTTTAGTATTCTTTGTAGACAATCAACATAAATTAATATACTTTGTTTCCAATTCTTCAAAGTCTCTTACATCATAATATATTGATTAGTTCCATTTTCACATTTCAATTTGAGATGTTATGACTCTTCAACCCACACTACAAATGTGTCCTATATTTCTTTCAAGTTTATTATGAATTTCACCTAAGTTTGCAATAGAGATTTAGCACAATAGTGGTCACAATAGTGGTTGATTAGACAAAGCTTGAACAACCTTGGCAAATACTTCTTTCCACCATACATTCCAAAAAATAAAAGAAAAGCTTGATAAAACTAAGGCCATTGCTTCCTACTAAAAATTAGTGAGAGTCATAATCATTGACAGCTAATTCACCATATAATACTCAATGATCTATTGCAAGACTTCTTCAAAGGGCTATGTTGCTAAGAAACTAATTCCTATTCCTCTTTGATTTAGATAATATATACCAAAAGTATCCATGTAATCATGGTAGTATCCAAGTATCTTCCCTATTAATGTTGGTACTAGGCTCAAAGAAAGCAACATGGAAGACATGGAACAAGAGAAGAAAATATGGATGAAGGGAGAGGAGGGTTTTTTAATGGAAGACAATGAATAAAAATGGAGAACAAGGATATGGGATTGGAAACAAGAGATGGATAAAATCAATCATGAGATGGTAAGAGAGGTGTCGCTTTAGTAACATTAGAATAAAGATTTAAGAACCCTCTCTCTCTCTCTCTCTCTCTCTCTCTCTCTTTATATATATATATATATATATATATATATATATAGATAATTTTATCTCATATAATCAATAATCTTGATAGATATAATTTTTATTAATTATTTGAAATAAAATTGATTAAATAAGTTGTTCTACTAGTCATGCAACAATATGTTCATTGATCATGCTTCAATCAACTTGAACTAATTGCTTATTATTATTATACACCATGAGCTTTTGTTTTTTATTTTCTTTATTTTTTACTTTCTACCATCTTTGTTTTTATGTCATAGCTAAAAAGTATATATGTATCTCATGAAAATTATATAATTTTTAAACAAAACATGATAATATTGAGTTCTTTGATGAAGTGTGTAGCTACAATGATATGCCAAATAAGAAAAGAAGTAAAGAAAGCTTGCAAAAAAAATTGAAAACAATGTGAATGCTTAGTATAAATTATAAGGCTTTGTTGTTTCTCTGATTTTGCAACTACATAAACATATCTAATAAAAGATAACTAAAAAAGATAAATCTTCTTATTTAAAATTCTTTTTATATTAAAATTTTATAAATTATCAAAAATAAAAAATTTAGAATAAAAAAAGAAGTTAGATATGTTATTCAATTTATTCTTATAAAGTAAGTAAAAGAAGAATTGGCATTGCTAAAGCTCTATTATAATTCAAAATTTTAAAAATTTGGACATATTATAATAAAGATGAAAAAATGAATAATAAAAAGTTGATAAATTATTACAAAAGTGTGCCTAATATTATATGAATAGAGATTGAACTTATAAATTTAATACAAAGTTGCAAAAATAGGCGGATTATTATTAATCTTGTCTTTATTTGAGAGAAAAAAATAATTTTTATATAAAATATTTAACATTTTACAAGAACAAATGACCTTGTTTTTAAATAGATGAATGAATCATTCTAAGAAGTAAAATAAATTTTATCAATTCTTGTTGCATGAAGAGAGTAGTAATACAAATGTATTGACAATAACTATGCTATTATATGAATTAAAATAGTTAATAGTAAAACACAATTACAATAA